TACGTGATCAAAGTCGTTTCAAATTATTGATTCCACTGCAACATCTATGTGTATATATATAGCTAGTTATATATACTATATATAGAGTATTTGAATATAGAGTATATAGAGTGTATTTGAAATTGCTGTTAAGTATTACTTAACTCAAAAGCCTATGCTAAAATATAATAGAATTTAGTATGGCCATAAATATAATTTTCTGAGTAATTAATAATTGTAACCAAAAAAAGAACTTAAGCAAAAATTTATGAATGAATGAGCAAACAATCATAAAAGCCAAACATACTCAACTACACACACATACATCTACACGTGTGTGTGTATGCGTGTGTGAAAAGTGACGTGCAAACGAAATATAAAACAGGCGAGCCAAGTCCAACTAAAGCAAAAGCAACAACAGCAACAGCACACACACACATAACAAGACTACAGGCGCGCAGATCTACATATGAATTTGTAGCAAGCGCAACGACAAACATTTATATGAATGAATGAAAAATTGTAAACTCGAAAAAAAGAAGGCAAAAAGTTGTTAACGCAGCAGTTCCACGAAAAAAAAAAAGAAAAAACCAAACAGTAAATAAAAAAGACAACAGCAAGAAATCTGTGAACAAGAAATTTGAAAGGTAAAAACTTAAATTAAAACAAAACTTAAATCAGAAACACGGAGCAAGTGTCGAGAGGCAGCCCCAGCCTCAGCCTCAACAACTGGTTTGGGCAGCAGCAGCTGTCCACAAATGTGCGTTAGGCGGCTGGGGAGTCCGACTCCAATTATGAATAAATAAAGAGCAACAGAGACGGCGGGGCGCAGCTAAAATCAAAATAAATACAGTCAAAAGAGACAAACACACACACACAAACACGCACACATAGAGAAAACGCAGTCCAAGCCGAGCTGTGAGACGCGCCCACATCTGCGACGGCGGCTGCAGCAGCAACTGAGGAAAGAGCCAAAGCCAAACCCGAAGACGCAGGCGAAGTAGAAGCCGGTTTGCAGGAATATTGCTTAGGGGCCGCACACGCAAAAAGGAAGGAAACAAACATCAAGCATCGGCGAGTCAAGGCAACAACTGCACAAGCTCACGCACACACGCGCAGATTGAGCAGCGCAAAGTTGAGAACTTCCACAAAGCAGCAAATCGCAAAGGAAAATAAAAGAACAAAAACAACTCAAGTTCCCCACGTTGGCCAGCCAAAAACAAAAACTCAGCCAGCCAGGCAGCCCCACCAAGGCAAAGCGAGCCAATGTTTCTGTTGCCTGTTGCTATTCCCCATTCATCAACTGCATTTCAACGCCGCGAGGCGATCGAGCAGCAGCAACAACAACAGCACCGATGCGCAGGCAGAACCAGAAACTTTTCTACTCACACCGCAAGTATGAATGAAAACGAACGTGTTTGCTTTTTTTCTTTACTTTTTTCTTCTTTTTATTTTTATTTTTGTTTTTTTTTTCGCTCCCGAGAGAGTCGCGAGAGCAACTGGCTGAGCGCATGAATGAATGAAACGAGCAGCGAACTGAGCGCCGAAAATGAATGAAAGTAGTGTTCGCTCTCTTTGGTGCGGCCTGCGGTCTCTGCCAGCTTTTTGGTTTCTGTTCTCTTCTCTCACCAATTCATGCGCGCTTATAATAATTTCATACGAATCATAGCATATTAAAAATATTATATTTGCTTTACATTTTTGTTTCTTTCAGCATTGTGGCGGATTTTGCTGTTATTTTCAAAGTTTATGATTAATATGCGCTGATTAAAGGCTCTCTAAAAACATATATAGAGTGTACACACTATTCATGCACATGTATGTATGTATAGATATATATAATTCAAATAAGGGCAGGCTGGATACATTTATATATGAATGTGTACATACACTTCATATATGTATGTATATAGAACTGTCTTTGTCTCGCTCTTATGTACGTGTATGCGTATGCTTGCATATTATAAACTAAATTTACGTGCCCCGTTCTTTGTCCCCCTTTATTTTATTTATTATTATTTTTGTTCCCTTTCAATGAGTATCCAGCATCTGCGCAGTTGTCGCCGTTTTGCATGTTTCTTTATTTCTTTGCCATTTTTATGGCCGATCTTCTAGCGGCAAAAGATAAGTTCATGCGTCGCGCGTCGTGCACTGAGCTCTGGGCCTGCCGACTGTGATAGGAACTGGCGCAGCCGCTGGGGCTGGCACTCGGACTGGTGCTGGGCCAAACAACGAGCTGTGGGGGATAGTTGGCCACTGACTTTTGTCGTACATTTGCGTCGCGTTGACATTGAAATTGTTTTGGTTTTACTTTTTTCTTTTTTTGTTGATTTCGACGCAGCGATAAGGCGCTACGTTTTGCTGTTTATGTATGAGTGTGCGTGCGTTTGTGTGTGAAGACTAAAATATCCCATTTTGTGATTTGTTTTTATAAACAACATTAAATTCGGACACTTTAGCAGCTGCCAATGCTATGAATGAAGACTTATCTAAATACAAAAAGTATCTGTCAGATACATTGTATGCTAAAATAAATAAAATAAAAAAAAAATAATAAAAAAAAAAAAAAATTGCCTAAAAACTATAGCAAAATAAGAACTTTGTTATAAGCTTGTCCCCGTTTTAGGCAAACTAATAGATTAATAGATACTTTTATATCTAGCTTTAGTCTCGTGAAACAAATTGAGTTTAATAGAGTTAGCAATTGTCGTTGTGTAATCTATTTTGAGACTCTTTTGTTCTTTATAGAAGCTTCCCACAATTGTGGCTCAAGCGAAACATTTTCATCAGCATTCACACAGCAAAGATGCATGCAAATTACCATTAAGCTGTCAGATACATTAAAAAACATAAACACACAACTGCAGCTGTATGTGTGTGTGTGTGTGTGTGTGTCGCACAGTAGTGGACAAAATGTATAGAAGACGCGAGCCAAGCGAACGACGACGACGACGACGGCGGCGATGGCGACGACGTTTTGTCACATAACGTATACGTAAGGTATTTTGCGAGAGTGAGTGACTGACTGACGCATTGGCTGATTGACAGCAGCAACAGCTAGAACACTGAGCATGAGCAGGGGGCTAGCTAGGAACGTAGGTGGGTGGGGATGGGGGCCAGCAGCGAGTGCACATTTAAGATATATTTATTTCATGTATTTGAAATGCAAATGTGTTTATTGTGTGTGTTGCTGTGTGTTTTCTCTGGCTGTTCACATTGAATGACTTGACTTGACTTGGGGGCGACTGAGTGCTTGAGTGAATGAAAGAATGAATGAATGAATGAATCTGTAAGTTCGCTTGGCACTGTGCCCGTATTTTGGGGCGCGGTGCCTGCTGCTGCCACTGAATGGACACCGGAAATAAACGACGTGACTTTTTACAAAAAAAAAATATTAACCAACTACGTACGTATGTATGTATGTACATGCATATGTACATAAATGCATAGTTCATGTGATGTATAAATCAAGATTGAAATTTTCAATATATTTTTATTTCGATAGGAACTGAACCACAGGCAAAAGAACCAACCGATAACCTAACAGAACCAAATTCATTTTCTATCAAATGTATTTGAGGAGTACTATGTTCATAAGATATACTTATACAGAGGGAGTAAGAGAATTTATATAAGTTTATTTCAAACAGAACTAGTTCATTCAGAATTAATATAACCGTACTTTAAATAGAACTAGTTCATGCAAAAATAATTGCAACGCAAACCGAACAAAATGATATAATTTATTTATTGAAAATAAACGTGCCAAATTGAACTCAATCATTGAACCTCAAATAAAACCATGAGCCGAACCGGAACCATTTCGTAACTAACCGAAACTAGATTCAAGTATAGTATATAGTTCATAGCTTAGGTTCAGTTCTTTTCGCATTCAGATACTGATGCAAAACCAGTTACCAAATCGGAACTGGAACAGGAAATGAACTGAACCGAAAATAGATCAACAGAATTGCTAGTTTGGGCTAAGTTCTTTTCGTGCTCGGAACTAGTTTCGGTTCAGCTTCTAATATTAAAATTTTGTCACATAAAAAATTAAGCTTTTAGCATGAGTTGAACTCAGAATGAGAGCTCAAATTTCAATTTATATTTACTCCAAACCGAACCTAAGCTACAACCAGCTCAACAGGACAAGGCCGAAACCGAGTGACAGTATCTTGATTTTCATTAAATCTTGAAAATTGTACGTTATAAATTACTTCAGATTGTGAATCGAAGCACAGAAAATATATATTTCGGGATTAGACGTACCTAATATAAACATTTATAATGCCGCATGGAGCACTATCATCTAGGCGAACTGTATTTCTTACATTCGCTTTGTTTTCAGCAGGCCAATCACAATTGTTCATATGTGCCAGTGCGTCTGCGGCTTATCTTATCGCGAATAATTTGTATTTGGTATATTTTTATCGCTCCGCTCAAAAGGCAAAAGCGAATAATAAAATTGCAAAAACAAATCGGGCAGCCAAAGAGTCTGAACATGACTGATGATGGAATTTCTTCATATGTGTGTATCGGCCCCTCTGTGTGTGTATGTGCGTAATATATTTTTTAAATATATGTATATACAGTCACTCCAGTGCACACACAGCTACATCCATGTATGCCTGCTTGAGTGCAAAGATAGCGCCTAAGAACTGAGTACAAACTGCGTACAATCACATATAAGAAAATACGAAACATTCGCACGACATATTGCTCTTTAATTATTTCCATTTCTTAGAAATTTGTTATCTATAAGATATGTATGTCTCTAAGACTCGGCACCCATATAACAATCGCCTTAATAGCTGTACCGTGGATTTCCGAGTGCATTGGATGTATCAGAGGGCTATTTTCTTTTTGTGAGTCCCCAAAAATACCTCACTTATATAAATATAGAGCTACTGTTCGAGTTGAATCGCATGTGACACGATTTTGAGGCGTAGTTTCATAGAGTGGTTTCCATTGATTGAAAAATAGTTTATATATACTATATATTACATACTGTTCACACTTACCCAGCGAGGCTTCATGATCTGAAATATCCGATAAACTGCAAACTTGCAGATCTTTGCAGCCATTGACCGGCTCCTCTTTAATGTATTTTGTTGTGGACTGTAAAATATGAAAGAAAATAGTAAATTTCGATTAGCTTTACAAAGTCAAATGAGAGTTTTTTTATTGAAGAATATTTGAGAAAGTAGTTCCATTATGAAAATACTAAACTTTTCAGAGAAACTCAGCTACAAGCTCAAGACCTATGATGATTTTTAATAATAAAGTTTTCCAACTTAGCTCTAACACTGTTAACGGAGCTGATTCAAAAGTTTCTATATCTCATATTTGAGTTCTCATATATAAACAGCTTAACTAGCTCTCATCATCATATAATTAATATTGGCCCTAGCAATTGGCTGCGCAGAGCCTAATGAATGCTGTCAAATGAACTAGCATTGGATTGTGCTGAATTCGAGCCCAGGAAAGTTAGTAAATTTGAGCTGCGGCACCCTAAAAAATAGAACGTACAACAATCAGAGCAACGTCAAACAGATTGCCAGCCAGCGGAGAAGAGAAGGCGCTGTGACTGCCCCAATTGCTGAGGCAGTCCCCAGGCTTTGATCATGTTAAGCGCGTTCTAATAAATTGAATTGTACATTTGACTTCCACACACACACACACTTAGATCTAGGCGACGATCAGTGAAGAGGAGAAGTGTGTGGTGTGGGAGCGGCACACACACACACACACACACATGCTTGTGATGTGTCTGTGGCTGCTGTTTCGGTCGTTTATTGTCGTTTATGATAATGGAGGTCACAGTAGTCAAACGAAATGTTTCATAAATATCGTAATCAATTGACGCCAAACAGACAATTCAATTTGAATTTCGAATTGGAATTTGATTCGTTGCTCCAGCGGACGACAGTCTCTCAAAAAAGTTCAGCTTCTGTTACGTGGTTAGCTTCGAATGTCAGAGACCAAAAAAAAAAATAAAATAAAGAGGCGACAAAAAAGAGCTATATACCCACTGTATACAAAGGCGAAACTTAAGACACGACTTCTTGCCAGACCATAGATTGAATTACTTGACTGCATTTTCCACGCGACTGCGCATGCGGCCAGGTTCAATGCAGGTCCTTTGACTCCGCCAGGCTCGATCAGGCCGGGCTGTTGACCGCTCTGACCGGATGAAAGTGGTCAGCTCAGCGGATATGTTAACCGCAGGCGCTGTCAGCGGCAAATGCCCAAAATACCTTTGCACAATCAACCAAAAAAGGAGCTGCCTAAGGCCAGATGCACTCTAGAAAAAATCATGGCTATAATTGAGAGCTTTCTCGTTACACTAAAGGTATCGGAGCTATATTGCCAGCTGATCTACTTTAAGGGTCTTCAACATACGTGAATATATTCGCATAGATCAAATATAAGCTATAATATACGTAGACTTATGGGAACTTGAACGAGCTGCCGATCGAGCCATTGTCGATTGTGATGACGCAGCTGGGCGAAGCCTTATAATTGCCATATATTGTGCGTATTGTATCCTCGCTCATTGTCTGCCGTTTTTGGCAGAGTTCTGTAGACTCTTGATTATTTACATTACGGGCAGGTCTCTCTGGCTGACTATTTGTGTCATAAATTAAGTGGCACGCTCATTACTTTTATAGCGCATAAACAAAAGAGTCTAGCCAAAAGAGCTTAACGAAATTCATATACCCTACGCTGCAGATCTCCTCGACAATAAATTTGAGAAATTGTAAGCTCAATATGCATACAATCAATCATGCAGATCATCATCATTTGATGTGGCAATCAGTTATTTATAGCATCTCTCCGATATGCCTGATGTCATGGGTGTAGGGTATAAAAAGTGCATAAGCCACCAAATCATAATACATTATAATTGCGTTCTGTTTGGGCAGCCAAATTTAGAATAAGTCGACGTGCACTGCATAACAAAATAGCCTCAAGATCGTCTAAGCCGATTGGACATTGGATCGAACAGCCAACTGACGGACTGATCGACTGACCGATAACAAGCTGTGAGGACGATCAGGACTATAAATACTTTGGTGCGTATAAATTTAGCAAGAGTGTCAGACTGATCGACAACTGATCGCCGATCAAAGATGCCCAGCCTTGTAGTTGATAGACGAATCTGATCAATATGTACATGTCTGACTATATTCTTCGATATATTTACTTCTGTCAATGATATGAAAGTGGGAAGTCGATCAGATGTGACTGGCAAAGCCAAGTAAGTTGAGTCGATCAAAGTTATATGAAAGTTGTGAGTAGTCTCTTGGAATATATTTATAGTTTGCTATTTATAAAGATCGCTTAGGCTGCTGATTAAATCTTAAGCTATGATCGAATAGTGAGAGTCTATAAATGATTTCTAGAATTGTTAAGCCTCAGCCTCAACTCAAGTTTAGATCACATTCAATTTCAACTTACCTCAACTATGCTGGGCAGAAAAGAAACTTTTCTGTTCTTTTTGAGTCGCATGTTGGTGCTGCTGCTGTTGCTGCTGTTGTTCAAGAAGGAGTTGTTGGTTTTAAACAAATGTTGTCCTGGATTGAAGTTGAAGAACTCGTTAATGTGCACCGCCCGGTCGAGAAATGAGTGTGTTGCAGTTGCCGTTGCCGTTGTTGTTGCGATTGCCGCTGCGGCTGGCAGCGCGGGTGGCAGCATAAATTTTGTTGCAGACAAATCTGTCTTACAAATCGCAAGTTCCATGTTGTGCACTCATCTAAAGAGACAGAGAGAGAGAGAGTGAGAGAGTAAACAAACAACAATTAGTTAAAGCGCAAAGTGCTGCATAAACAAACAAGTGAGCGGGCCTACAAGCTAGTGGACTGGCGCTAAGTACTCAATTTGCCACAATATTATTGGCCCATTACTTAGCAGGCTGTAGGCCTGAATGGACCTCGTTCACACCTTCAACTATGGCCGCAGTTCACACCTTTGTGCTCAATTTGAGCCACGGATATGCTGTTGACTCAAGAAATTATGACGCTCTGGCGTGAGGCAACGTCTCGGTCGGCGGGCACAGTGTGTACATAGTATGAGCGATCGGAACGTTTTAAGAACTGCTCTCCGACACGCGGCAAGCACAACATCAAAGTGTCCGCCCCTCAACTGGCGACAAGGCCACAACAAAAGGAGCCGCCACGGTTTGCATATAAAACATAGTTTTGTTTATACAGCATCCATCATGCAATAGAGTTCGTGATCCAAGGGGCCTGATTTTCTAAATATATATATACATATATGTATGTATATATCTAATGGATATGTTTCTGTGCTGTAGTTCTTCAATATTTGCCAAGATCACAAGGAAACGGCTTGTAGAAGTTTCTTTGATCTTACATAATTTTGAAAACAAAATTTAGTTAGTTTCTTCGACTTCTAGGTAGCACAGGAACTTTTATTGCAATGGCATATATTGTGAATCCAATTTATAGATAGCTCTTTGCTTCCGCTGAATTCGTTAAAGTTCGGCAAGCTTTGAGCTTTGTACTGAAAGTGCAGCCCTTTTATCGAGCACAGAATCTTCGACGGCCTTTCACAATAACAAAAAATAAATAGAAACGTCGCAGCAGCTTCCGGTGGGGTTGTTATCAATCTGACAAAGGCCGTCTACGCCGGCCTGATAAGCTGTCCGAGATCGCCAAGCCTAATATTCTATTCTAATGAGCCACCGAAAATATATATTTATTTATATTACAAAAGAGAAACGATTATATCAAACGGAAGTGACGCTTAAAGAGAAAAACAAAAGCTGAATTATATATTTATATAAAACCAAAGCTAGACCCGCACTATGCTTTACTAAAGGGTGTTCTTCTTAGAGGTTCACGATTTCAAGTTGGCAATATTGCGTTATTTGCCAGCCCATTTAACAGCTGACAGTTCCGTTTTACTGTCTTTAGTTTGACATTTCGTCACCAGAGCTATGCTTGCAAATTATTGAAATTGTTTATCAAAATAAAGGATCTCTTCGTGCAGTTTGTCCATTTTATGTCGTGCATAATTATGAAGAATATTTTTCTTCGAACGGATACGTTAATAAGAACTTTCGTATTTGGGAAGAGAATAATCTAATTTGTCAAAACAGCATTACGTCCACATAAAATTAGTCTACATGTCTTCAAAAACGATGATGGTTATGATTGTGATAATTGTGAACACTAGAGTTCCCAATTAGGCCTCCTACGCCCCTGTTGTGGAGAGAACATGGTTGAAATCCTATTACCACATTAATGTCATTAAACACTCTCTCTCAAAATCTACCTTTCATTGATATTATATGTGTATTTCTCTATTTAACGATAATTTAAGTTTGTGAAACTCTAAAAAAAAAACACCCTTTATTTATTTATGCATATATCATAACATGTATTTAGTAGCCTCTATAAATAACACGACTTGAAGATAAATTCCGGCGCTCAATTACGCATTTGGAATTGTGATCTTACAGGCCATATATGTAGGGCTGAGGTTTTCTGAATCTGATTCTGATTGTGATTGTGATTGTGATTGTAAGGCAATGTCTCTGCCTAATTAGATACGTTATGCAAATGAACTGTGTGACGTGGACGCCTGAAGGTGTTTGTGTGTATGGCAAAAACCGTTATCTACGCACGTTATCTGCCATCTGCATATAGCTTATATATATATATATATATATATATATAGATATATATACATACGCAGATATTTGCATGCGAGTATATGTAAAACGTTTCTTCGATTCGGATTCGCATTGATCTAACTGCATAAATTGTTTTTATTTGCTCGCTTGTGTAATCAATTTTAATTTGCTTTGCTGATTTGTGTGGCCGTTAGTTTCTGTCTGATCTGGCCAACTGGATACCCCAGTTACACCCACACCCAGACGAACGGACGGCCAGAGTGGCTGTCACACAGCAAGTGTGATTGAGTGCGGTAAATACGAATTTAAGTTAATCAACATTTAAATGGATAATAAAATCTCGGAGTGCAGTCAGCAAATGGCATTAAATTCGCAGTGCAATCAAATCAATGCAGAAACAACAACAATAAAACGAACAACAACTGGAAGAAGAAGAAGAGTGTTATGACATTTACAGAGCACATATGCTATATATGCATCTAATTGATTTTGACAGCGCAATAAAGCGCATACAACTGCGTATATATAGCTATATGTACATACATATATAGTTGATTCATGTAAATGTATTCTCGACACATACATTTACACTTCTCACACGAAAATAATTTATAAACGCATCAAATTGGCAAAAATAATAAGCGAATGAATACTCAGATTGATTTTAAGATTTGCTCCGATCAGACTTGTGCTATATAAAATGATATAGAAACCATAAGGATATTGCACGAGCATCGTATATGGCCTTAGCTTATCTTACAGTACTACAATTATATGTATATTATATATATTCCCATATTAAATAAATAGACTTTATTAATAAATATTTAGGAATCACTGCTACGCTTCAGTTTTGGTCAAGATAAAGAGTTGCTTATATAAGGCACAAAGTTCTTTGGGCAGTCTTTAATATGTATTAGATTGATTCCAACTTATCTATGGGCTGCCTATGCAAAGACTGATATCACTAGCCATAAGACCGAGCATATCTGTGTATGTAGCCAAAGGCTTACAAATTTCTTATTAACATTTTAATACTCTGTGCAGTTCATACAAATATTTGTATTTGTCAGCTACTGATTCAGTCAAGTTGGTCAAGTGGCGGAACGATAACGATTATCGATAACCCGTTACTGCCATCTGTTAGCATAAGAGCGCGCTATCAGCCAATTAACTGGAATTACACACACTTAAAAATGTATTTACAATAATTGGCTTACATTGTGTTCTTATTACATATTGGCACAGCAGAAGATTGCAAGATTTTTCGATCAAGTCGTAAATAAATGCTCGAAAAGTAAGAGTTAAGTTTATCTATAATACTGATGACTTAGATATGGGAAATATATATAAGTTCTTGAGTTTCATCCGATTTTTTTGAAGTTTTCCTTTTTTTCTACCCAAAGGACTACTCTTGATTTTGCAAGTATTCAAATAGCTGTTAGACCCTAAATGTATCTGGAAAGGCAGCACCAGAGCAGAGTGTTCGTTACCAAACCAAACTACGTCACTGTTGTACCCACAATCCGGTATCTTGAAAACACGATCTTATCTGAGAGCACAGCAGATAACGGAGCAGCCACTGGGAGAAACTTTCTACGAAGTCAAAATTGAAAATCTGAGCATATGTTTTCCCTAGAAAAGTACGAAGTAATATGCATGGACCATTTCGGACACACATACGCAGTCACAGCTACAGCTACAGCTACAGCTACAGCTACAGCTACAGCTACAGCCACAGACAGTGAGACAAGAAGAAGAGAGATGGAAGACACCAAAAAAGAAGAAAAAATGGTCCAGCCAACTGTGCTGCGGGACAACGGACAGCAGATGCTAAAGAAACAGATTGTAAACGAATATGATATTTCGATATGGTGCACACTCCTTGTGCAGACTCCGAATCAGAGGACCAGACATGCCACAACGTGGCATGCAACAATAGGGGTGCAATTTTTTGTGTGCACGTAACGGTAGAATACACTTTCTGTTCTTTTTTTGGAAAGGGATCTTCACAGATCATCTGCTTGTGCGCCTGCGCACATGTGTTGGCTGTCTGTCCCGTTGTCTCCTCCTTCACTTGGTCCCTATCTATGTGTGTGTGTGTGTGTGCGTGTGTGTTTAATGGTATCGATCTTGAGTTCAGTCTGTCTGCGGCAGGTTGATATCCAGCACAAGCAAGGACCAAGATCATTAAACGTGGCATGGGGCAACGAACCAGCCTCAAAATGCAGTGAACTGTAAGTGAGGAACTTGCACTGTGTTGGAATCGGTCAAATGTCAGACGATCTGAGCAGTTAGAGGAAATCAGTGGAGAAAACTTGGATGATCTTGCATAATTCTCGATTCTGATCTATTCAGAATGAATCTTTGAAAAGAAATCTTGATTTTCTCTCTTCAGCTCTCTCTTCTCTATCTGTCTGTGGTGTGTCCCACGATCATTTAGTGTTATATTGAATAATTCAATCAGGTTTCAATGAGACAATTGAATGGCATTTTGATGCAATGATCTCTTTCGTATTGATTAACATTTATCCTTTGTCTTATTCGATGATTTGACGCTCGATTCATTAGCGATATTTGAGCATAGCCCACGGCGGATTGCCAATGTTCAGGTGAATTAAGTACATGCTAAGTGCTTTTATGGCCCATTTTATCAATGATCGTAAATGATCTTGAGCGTTCATTGATCCACATTCTGGCCACATTAGGGAACTCAACAGTAGCGGTTTAAAAACAGATCAACGGGCTCCAAAAAACAAACCACCAACATTCACACATTCCCATTAACGAAATGGGAATCGATGGCCATAAAAAGTGAGAGAAGGAAAACAAAGAAATGCAATCAAAGGTAGCACCGGAAACTGTAACAGTTGTAATTTCAATTATGCTCAAGGTTCAGAAAGGGGCAGCCAGACCCCCAGCCAGTCCGAGAGATCGCCAGCAATCCTGGTAGCTGGCCGAATGGCTGTAAGAGTTAGGGCCGCGATAGCAGCTTGATTCAAACAGGTTTTTCCTAGATTCATTCAAGAAAACAGGCAACACACACACACGCACACACTGAAAGGGTTTCTAGCTGGTAGCCAAAGCTGAATAAAAATACTTCAACTACTGTTTTCAACACTTCACTCACCGGTGGGGCAATAAAATAGAGGCGCGTAACGCCCCTCAAATGCTGAAAGAGGTAGCCGCTGGTATTTTGTTGCTTCGCTTAGTTTTTTATATATGTGTATATATTTTTTTGTTTTGTTTTTTCTTTTCTTCTTACGAGTTTTTATTCTCTTTTTTATTAGGGTATCCAAATTAATTACAACTTCAAATTAGGCGCATAATCTTGATCGGAAACATAGGCAGTCGCACGGCAAGAAAGCAGGAGCTGACAGCTTAAGTTCTCGCTCTCTCTTTCACTCACTTACTCTCTCTCTCTCTCTTTCTCTGGTGCTGTATCTGTTGCTCAGAATATTTGTATCTTTCAGTCTTAAGTGTGTATCTGAATCTGTGAAACTCTGTTTATATCGCGTGGATCAGCAGGCAGGTTGATTATGGCCGGCGAGAGAGATTACGTGCCTGAAACAAAGCGCACGAAAGGAAACGCAGAGAATTGGGATCGTCAATCGGGGATTGGATCGGATCGGATCGGGTCTTGGCTTTAGTTCGGCTTATAAGACGCAACGCTAACGCTGCAGCTGACAACGACGACGACGACGACGACGACGCGGCAGAGATCGAACGACAACGGATCAGAGCGACCCACACAGACAGATCAGACTACACACATACACACACACGCGTGCGCACACACACCTATAAACATACGCGCACGCACAGACGATCTTTAAGCGATTTTGTGGTTTTGTAGACAGATTTTTGAATCTTTGCCGTTGCTGTTGGCTGTTTATTTGTGTTTTTTTTTGGTTTATGATTTATTCACGAAAAAAGGTTTAACGTTTTAGCCGCTTTGAGCTGCTCTTTTGCTATATTTGGCTCAATCAATATTTGCACCGCCACTTTTCTATCTTAAATATGCTTAAAACTTGGGTAAACAGAAACAGCAACAATTATTGTTTCTGCTTTATTGATTCTTTTTTTTTTTGTTTTGTTTTGTTTTCGATTTTCAAATTTGAATTGCACTCATTTCGATGACACAACAATAACAAGATTTGGCTATCGATTGGCGTTTCTGTGCCGCTTTTTCTTTGGCAATGGGCGACGACGACGCACTCACGAGTCGCGCGATCACAGCGAGCAGAATTCTTGCTAATTAAATTGTGTGCGTTTGTTGTTGTGGTGTTGTTGCTGCTATTTGTTTTGTATTGCGTATAGTTAAGAAGCATTCAAATATTCAAAACACATAACCGTTAAGCAGTGTGGGCAAGAGACACAACACACACGTCGTCGCGTCCAAACGCAAAGAGAGTCGACAACAAACTGAAGCAGGCAGCGCAGCAGCAGACACAACAACACGCTGAACGCCGACGCCGACGCGCTCATGCACACATGTGCGAAGAGAGGGAATTGAGCGAGCGGAGCAAGTGCCGAAGCAGAACAACAAGAAGGAGCGGCAAACGGCGAACGGCAAACGGCGGACGGCGAACGTGGAGCTCAGAGTGTGGCAACTGATAACGCCAAAAAAGCGAGAGTCATTTTTTATTTAGTTTTTTTGCTCTACTCTTTTATGGGTGTGCAAAAACAGAAACACAATACACAATACATAAGGAACGAATATAGATTATATATAAATACATTCACACAGATTTATATTCATAGCCTGAGTATATGCAAAATTGGTTTGTCAAATGTACGCAAAAGAGAGCGCAGCGAGTGGGAGCGGCAAGAGATACAATTTTCCGCAAACAGAAGAGCAGGAACCCACACACTCACGCCACCGATGTGCAGCCTGAGCAAAAAGAAAATCAGAATAACCCAAGCAACAAAAACAAAGTGTTTCTACGCGAAGAACAACAACAGCGCACAAAAAAAACTCTGCGTGGTCAGAACGCTACAAGTGTGCGTGTGTGTGTGTGTGTGCTTGTGTGTGTAGCTATGCTTGTGTGCGGCAATCATTTTTAGCAAGCGATGCACAGTGACACAGAACAGCAAATGAATTGCTGGATATGCCCACTGTTCCAAACGAATCGCTCCCAGAAAGGCTACAAACAGGTTTACAAACATATATACGCATATGTATGAACATACAGACACATACATATGTATCTGTGTTTATATTCTGGCAACGCTTTTCGCATAAATTACCCATACAACTACACAGATAGCCAAGTGTGTGCGTAGTCAGGCAGCACTGGCGCTACAGGAAGGGGCAATAAGATTGAGCGGCTCCTGTTCCCTCCACCAGGGGCAGCCTTGCATAACGAACACGTGTAACCAATATGGTTGACTGGCAGCGACAGCGTTGCACACAACAAAGAGATTGTCAACTTGTGGCAGGGGCAGCAATTAAATAGCTACACAGCGACAAGTGCACGGCGCAGCAGGACGAACTCAACGAAAGAGAGCTGTCAAGCGACAAGAGCGAATGAGCGAGAGTAGCAAAAGCGAAGAGAGCGCTTGCGCGCAGCGCTGCACTGCTGCCATTGAGCGTGCGTGTGTGTGAGAGAGTATGCGCATGTGTATGGTTATGTATGTATGCGTTGCTCGCTGACTGCATTTTTACTACGCGTGTAGGTGAGCCGGATTTTATGAATGAATTTTGTTGTGTGCGTGTGTAATTTGATTTGAGGCTAAAAAAACATGCACAATGTAGCCAACAGCAAACTAAACAGGCTGAAATTTCCATACCTACAGATATACATAAATTAAAATATATAATGGTTTGTTTTTAGTCAAATATTTAAGTATACTAGCCAACTTAAGTGGCATAAAACAAGTTGCACGTCAATGGTCGGAAGTAGTATATGAGGACATAACTTTATTTATTTTTAGTTGTGTGGCCAAAACTAAAACAAAGCAGAAGTATGTGGTCATTAAGTTTTTATTTGTCAACATACCGAATACAGCTGTCTAAAAGAATTTAGTTGTTTGTTCACAAATAAAGTTCACATATAAAAATTATATTAATAAACATAAGTATGAAAAGAATTATTATATTACTTAGCAATTACATCGAAACAGTCAATATAATTTAAGTCATGATACTTCCTTCTGTTTTATTATAGAATTATAATAGAACATTTTATATTTTATAATAGTTTCGTTAAGATTCAATTTCAAATGAATGGCGCGCAAACAGCCTCATGTTGCTCAATTTTGCGTTAGTTTTCGTGCAGCTAACTTCACCTTACGCACACATGAACTGATTTAGCGAGTCGAATATCGATGTATCGATATTCATTAGGCGTTTGTACATCATCAGCTGCAGCAAAAGGCGCCAAGTCAAGGCGCAATTTATTAATTAATATAAATGTAAAATAAAAATATATAATAATAAAAATATTTAAATATAATTATAAGAATGGCAGAAAGCGCGAAGGCAAAAGTGCTACAGAACACCGGCAGGTTTGTGAGTGAAACGCGCGCTGAAGGGTAGGTCAACCTGTTATTATTTGCAGTGCAGCCCAAACCTAATGCGATTTGTTTTTTGCTTTTGCCAGCGACGACTTTTTCAACGAGGCGGGCTACCGGCAGTCGCGAGAGAATGATAAAATAGACTCAAAATATGGCTTTGACAGGGTTAAAGACAGCCAGGAGCGCACAGGCTATCTCATCAACATGCACACGGTGAGCACTGTGCTAAAGTGAACTATAAATATAAAACAATTATATTTTTCCCTCTTGCAGAATGAGGTGCTCGACGATGATCGTCGCCTGGTGGCTGCCCTGGATTTGTTCTTCATACAAATGGACGGTTCGCGCTTCAAGTGCACCGTGGCGTACCAGCCGTATCTGTTGATACGTCCAGAGGCAAATATGCAGCTGGAGGTGGCGCGCTTTCTGGGCCGCAAGTATTCGGGGCAGATTGCTAGCCTGGAGCATATAACGAAGGAGGATTTGGATTTGGCCAATCACTTGTCGGGGCTGCAGCAGCACTACATCAAGCTCACGTTTCTCAATCAGACGGCCATGACCAAGGTGCGCCGCGAGCTAATGGCAGCAGTGCGTCGCAATACGGAGCGGGAGAAGTCGAACACTTACTACATGCAAATGCTGGCCAATTCGCTGGCCCAGTCCTCTAGTGGGGCGGACGATGGCAGCGGCAAGCGACAACAGGATTACATGGACTGTATTATGGATATTCGGGAGCATGATGTGCCCTACCATGTACGCGTTTCCATTGACTTGCGCATCTTTTGTGGCCAATGGTATAATATACGGTGTCGCAGCGGTGTCGAGCTGCCGATCATTACGTGCCGTCCGGATATCTTGGACCGACCGGAGCCCGTGGTGCTGGCCTTTGACATAGAGACAACGAAGCTGCCGCTCAAGTTTCCCGACGCTCAAACGGATCAGATCATGATGATCTCCTATATGATTGATGGCCAGGGCTATTTGATAACCAATCGGGAGATCATCTCCTCCGACATTGAAGACTTTGAGTACACGCCGAAGCCCGAGTTTGAGGGCAACTTCATCATATTCAATGAGGAGAACGAAATGCAGCTGCTGCAGAAGTTCTTTGACCACATTATGGAGGTGCGTCCGCACATTGTGGTCACCTACAATGGCGACTTTTTCGATTGGCCGTTTGTGGAGACGCGTGCGGCTGTTTATGATCTGGATATGAAGCAGGAGATTGGCTTCTCTAAGATGCGGGATGGCAACTACTTGAGCCGTCCGTCCATACACATGGATTGCCTGTGCTGGGTGAAGCGAGATTCCTATTTGCCAGTTGGCTCCCAAGGCCTGAAGGCGGTGGCCAAGGCGAAACTGCGCTACGATCCGGTCGAGCTCGATCCCGAGGACATGTGCCGCATGGCCGTCGAGCAGCCACAAGTGCTGTCCAACTACTCTGTCTCCGATGCGGTGGCCACCTATTATCTGTATATGAAGTACGTGCATCCGTTCATATTTGCCCTGAACACTATTATTCCCATGGAGCCGGATGAGATATTGCGCAAGGGCTCCGGCACCCTGTGCGAAACGCTGCTCATGGTGCAGGCCTACCATGCGAACATCGTGTTTCCCAACAAGCATCAAAGCGAGCTCAACAAGCTCTCCAATGAGGGTCATGTGCTCGACTCCGAGACCTATGTGGGCGGTCATGTGGAGGCGCTGGAGTCGGGCGTCTTTCGGGCGGATATACCATGTCGCTTCAGGCTGGATCCCAACATGGTCAGGCAGCTAATGGATCAGGTGGACGCTGTGCTCAAGCATGCCATCGAGGTGGAGGAGGGCATACCCTTGGAGTTGGTCAGCAATCTGAATGACGTGAAGCAGGAGATTATCCAGGCACTGCAGGGACTGCACGACATACCCAATCGGCTAGAGCAGCCGGTCATCTACCATTTGGATGTGGGTGCCATGTACCCGAACATCATTTTGACCAATCGTCTGCAGCCCTCGGCTATGGTCAGCGACATGGATTGCGCCGCGTGCGACTTCAACAGGCCTGGTGTGCGCTGCAAGCGTTCCATGGATTGGCTGTGGCGCGGCGAGATGTTGCCTGCCTCCCGCAATGAATTTCAGCGCATTCAGCAGCAGCTCGAAACAGAGAAGTTCCCACCCCTCTTTCCAGGCGGCCCAACGCGCGCCTTCCACGAACTCTCCAAGGAGGATCAGGCGGCCTATGAAAAGAAGCGTCTGTCGGACTATTGTCGCAAGGCGTACAAGAAGACCAAGATCACCAAATTGGAGACGCGCAACTCGACCATTTGCCAGAAGGAGAACAGCTTCTATGTGGACACTGTGCGTGCCTTTCGAGATCGGCGCTACGAGTACAAGGGCCTGACCAAGACGGCGAAGGCGTCGGTGAATGCTGCCGTCGCCTCGGGTGATGCGGCCGAAATCAAGGCGGCCAAGGGACGCGAGGTGCTGTACGATTCACTGCAGCTGGCCCACAAGTGCATCCTCAACTCTTTCTATGGCTATGTGATGCGGCGCGGTGCGCGCTGGCACTCCATGCCCATGGCGGGCATTGTCTGTCTCACGGGCTCCAACATCATCACCAAGGCGCGCGAGATAATTGAGCGCGTGGGTCGTCCGTTGGAGCTGGACACGGATGGTATTTGGTGCATATTGCCGGGCTCCTTTCCGCAGGAGTTCACAGTGCAGACAACTCATGAGAAGAAGAAGAAGATCAACATTTCATATCCCAATGCTGTGCTCAATACCATGGTCAAGGATCACTTCACCAATGATCAGTATCACGAGCTGCGAAAGCCAGTTGAGGGCGAGCCGCCCAGCTACGATGTGCGTGATGAGAATTCAATTTTCTTTGAGGTTGACGGTCCCTATTTGGCCATGGTGCTGCCCGCCGCCAAGGAGGAGGGCAAGAAGCTCAAGAAACGCTACGCGGTATTTAATTTCGATGGCTCCTTGGCTGAGTTAAAGGGATTCGAGGTGAAGCGACGTGGTGAACTGCAGCTGATTAAGAACTTTCAGAGCTCCGTTTTCGAAGCGTTCCTGGCTGGCAGCACACTGGAGGAGTGCTATGCCTCGGTGGCCAAGGTAGCGGACTACTGGCTGGATGTGCTCTACAGCCGCGGCTCCAATTTGCCAGACTCCGAACTATTCGAACTGATTGCCGAGAACAAGTCCATGTCCAAGAAGCTGGAGGAATACGGCGCTCAGAAGAGCACGTCCATATCGACGGCCAAGCGTCTGGCCGAGTTTCTCGGCGAGCAGATGGTCAAGGATGCGGGTCTGGCCTGCAAGTACATCATATCCAAGAAGCCCGAGGGCGCACCAGTCACTGAGCGAGCCGTTCCTTTGGCCATTTTCCAGTCGGAGCCGAGTGTGCGGCGGCATCACTTGCGTCGCTGGCTCAAGGACAATACCATGGGCGATGCGGACATACGTGATGTGCTCGACTGGAACTACTATATCGAGCGCTTGGGCGGCACCATTCAAAAGATCATTACAATACCCGCTGCACTGCAGGGATTGGCCAATCCAGTGCCGCGCGTGCAGCATCCGGACTGGCTGCACAAGAAAATGCTGGAGAAGAACGATGTGCTGAAGCAGCGGCGCATCAACGAGATGTTCACCAGCAGGCCGCGGCCCAAGCCAGCGCTGGCAACGGAGGAGAAGCAATTGGAGCTGGGCGACATGGAGGACCTGGCGGGCAAAGAAGATGCGGATGCTTCAGGCAGACCGATGGTAACCAAGCGCAAGCGTGTGCATCTCGATGACGAAGATGAAGAGGGCACTGCAGCAGAGTCAACGCCTCAGCCGAAGACGTGGCGCCAGGCTCTGGGGCCACCGCCCGCCATTGGCGAAACCCGCAAGACGATTATAGAATGGGTGCGTTTCCAGAAGCGCAAGTGGGCCTGGCAGCAGGAGCAGCGTCAGCGTTGCCGCCAGCAGAGCAAACGACATCGCGGCGGCGACGATAGCGCAGCAGGAGCTGCATCTGCGCAGGCCGCCAGCAGAGCAACAACATCCACCGCCACGCTGGGCGGCTTCTTGCGTCGGGCACAGCGCACGCTGCTGGACCAGCCCTGGCAGATACTGCAGCTGGTGCCGGTCAGTGATCTGGGCCAGTTCAATGTATGGGCGCTCATTGGTGAGGAGCTGCATCGCATTAAGTTGACGGTGCCGCGCATCTTCTATGTGAACCAGCGTAGCGCAGCGCCGCCCGAGGAGGGACAACTGTGGCGCAAAGTGAATCGTGTGCTGCCCCGATCCCGACCCGTTTACAATCTGTATCGGTATAGTGTGCCCGAGCAGGTGTTCCGCGACAATTGCCTGGGCATGCTGGCCGATCTGGCCACACCCGACATCGAGGGCATCTATGAGACGCACATGACGCTGGAGTTCCGGGCACTGATGGACATGGGCTGCATCTGTGGCGTGCAGCGCGAGGAAGCGCGTCGCCTGGCTCTGCTGTCCACGCGCGAGCTGGAGAGCTTCAGCATTGAGCAGCTAGAGCAGCGTCCACAGTCGCATATTCGATACCTTCAGCATGCCAACACCAAGCTGCGCAAGATCTATCTGTATCAGCACAATATACCCACAGCCAAGAAGGAGATGTGGGCGCTGTTCCTGCTGCCCAGCAAGAAGGCATTTGTCTTCGCCTTGGACACAGTGCGAGCCAATCAAATGCCCAACATGAAGCAGCTATACACGGCGGAGCGTTTGGCCTTGATCAAGAATCTGCAGCAGGCCGCACAGATAGAGAAGCTGCCACCGGAGGATTTTAGCTTTGAGCTGCTCATCGAGGTGGACGTGAAGCAGATCTACAGGCACATCCAGCGCGCTCTCTCTACGTACAAGCAGGAGCAGCCGGGTCCCACCATGCTCTGCCTGCAAACGGCCACCGAGGCGAGAAAATTGAGCGCAGCCATGCCAGTGCTGCTGGAGTTTCCGCAAGCCCAGATACACATCTCCGATGATGCCAGTCTGCTCTCCGGCCTCGACTGGCAGCGGCAGGGTGCGCGCGCAGTGGTCCGGCATTTCCTCAATCTGAACAATGTGCTGGAGCTTATGTTGGATCAGTGTCGCTACTTCCATGTGCCCATTGGCAACATGCCGCCGGACACGGTGCTCTTTGGTGCGGATCTGTTCTTTGCCCGCCTGCTGCAGAAGCACAACTTTGTGCTGTGGTGGTCGGCGAGCACGCGCCCCGACTTGGGCGGCCGTGAGGCGGACGACAGCCGTCTGCTGGCCGAGTTTGAGGAGAACATCACGGTGGTGCAGAATCGTGCCGGCTTCTATCCAGATGTGTGCGTCGAACTGGCTCTGGACAGCTTGGCTGTTAGCGCATTGCTGCAGTCGAACAGGATTCAGGAAATGGAAGGCGCCTCCTCGGCCATTACGTTCGATGTGATGCCGCAGGCATCCCTCGAGGAAATGATCGGCACGGTGCCGGCAGCCACGTTGCCCAGCTATGATGAGACTGCTCTCTGCTCCGCCGCCTTTCGCGTAATGCGCTCCATGGTGAATGGTTGGCTGCGTGAGGTGTCCATCAATCAGAACATCTTTTCCGACTTTCAAATCGTGCACTTCTATCGCTGGGTGCGCTCCAGCAATGCCCTGCTCTATGATCCTGCGCTGCGCAGATCTCTTAACAATCTGATGCGAAAAATGTTCTTGCGCATCATAGCGGAGTTTAAGCGCTTGGGCGCCACCATAGTCTATGCAGACTTCAACCGAATCATCCTCAGTTCGGGCAAGAAGAACGTGTCGGATGCCCTGGGCTATGTGGACTACATTGTGCAGAGCTTGCGCAACAAGGAAATGTTTCACTCCATTCAGTTGAGCTTTGAGCAGTGCTGGAATTTCATGCTCTGGTTGGATCAGTCCAACTTCTCGGGCATACGAGGCACCCTGCCCAAGGGCATTGATGAGACTGTCTCGGCTATAGCGGCGGGCAGCACAACGCTGCGACAGAGCCAGGCCCGTAAGAAGCAGGGCAGCGAAGATGACGATGAGGGTGATGATGATGACGACGTAGAAGAGGTCGAAGCTGATGCTGAAGAACCGCAACTGGAGGAGGAGGAAGAGGAGCTATCTCTAGAATTAAACTGGACCATTGGAGAGCAGCTGCCGGACGAGAATGAATGTCGCGAGAAATTTGAAACTCTGCTCACGCTCTTCATGCAAGCTCTGGCGGAACGTAAGACCACTGAACAGGCCATTAAGGATATTTCGCACTGTGCCTTTGACTATGTGCTGAAGCTGCATAAGAACTATGGCAAGGGCAAACCGAGTCCTGGCCTGGAACTCATACGCAGCATTGTCAAGGTGCTCAGCGTGGACAAGACACTCGCGGACCAAATCAACGAGCTGCGCCGCAATATGCTGCGTCTGGTTGGCATTGGTGAGTTCTCCGATCTGGCTGAGTGGACAGATCCCTGTGATACGTACATCATCAACGAGGTCATATGCAAGGCATGCAATCACTGCCGCGATCTGGATCTATGCAAGGACAAGCATCGCGCCATGAAGGATGGCATGTAAGTGCATCGAATCGTTATGCTAATTACGCTTAACTTATTCTTTCTTGCTCTGTTGCAGTCCTGTCTGGCTGTGCGCGCAGTGCTATGTGGCCTACGACAATGAGGAGATTGAGATGCGCATGATTGATGTGCTTCAGCGCAAGCTGATGTCCTTTGTACTGCAGGACTTGCGCTGTGCGCGCTGCAACGAAATCAAACGTGAGAACTTGGCTGAGTTTTGCACCTGTGCTGGCAACTTTTTGCCTCTTATCAGTGGCAACGATATTGAAAAGCTGCTCAAAACGTTCAGCAACGTTGCCAGCTACCACAAAATGCAGTTGCTCCAGGAAACGGTGCAGCAGGCCGTGAAAACGCCGCGCTAGACTTAAGAAATATTTTAACAACTTCTAAATATAGTTTTAATTTTATTTTCATTCAAATTGTTCTCTTTTTTATTTTTGTAGACGGTCGATAAAAATTTGTATAGATATATTTGATCTCCAATTTATGAGCAAATTTGTATAAAAACTTCGGATCAGTGAACTTAAGATCTGAATTTATTGTTTTTGTTTGGCTTCAGATAAGATATTTATTTGAACATATTCTGAAATTGTTAAACTGGATTTTGTTAAAAAATAAAGTGGCTTAGGTTCGTTAGTGAAGATCAGTTCAGAGCGTTCACACGAAAATGTTCATCAGCATTGATATTAAGCAATTAGGCTAAATTAGCAGATCTCCCTCGAGAGCATGTTCAAATGTGAGACGCCATAAATTTGTAAGAAAACATGTTTTATTGTTATTAGAGTAATAAGATGTGATGCAAGCTTTGAAGCGTTAAAGTGAAAATAACTAGATAATAATAAAAGATATAATGTTATAGAGTTTTTAAGCCACGGTCACTGGCTTAACGTCGCGGATATATTCCTCAAAGTTCTTGTCGTCCAATAGACCAGGGTCAAAGCCGTTTATAATCTGTGGCAGCACTGGATTGTCCAGCATGGTCGTGTGGTTGCCCTCAATCACCTTGAGTGTGACTTTGCCCGATGTCAGCTGGGATAAGCAATAGTCTTCCTCTATGTCCTGCAGAGAGACCTCTGCGGGCCGTACTAAAGTAATCGGCGACTTCAAGTCCTTTATGCTGTCCACGTCGAACTGGGCGGCCATCTTAACCCTGTGGAACATGGCCTCGACTATAACGCGGCAGTATTCTTTGCTGTACAGTTTCTGTTTGTCCGCAAACTCCATTAGCAGCTCCATTTTCTCTTTGAGAGTATCGAGCTTGTTGAACATTAGTGCAGCGGACTCGTTGGTTTCATCCGGGAATATTTGACTGACTATTTTTGAGAAGAGCAAGTCGTATAGATCATTGTCGGTGTAATCTGCGCCCAAGTGGAGCTTCGTTAGCCTTGTTAGGAAGTGTGGGGCGCCATCAATCAGCAGGACGTGTCCACGGAAACCCAAATTCTCCAGCAAGGCGGCTAGTTGTAGTGCCACATAGGAGCCATAAGAGTAGCCAATCAGGTAAAATGGATCTGCGGGCTTCAGAAGTGCCTTCACGTGCTACAAAGAAATTATGATTAGACTCACATTGGACTATGTTGATGTGGGCTTTAATTACCTCCAGTGCCAGGTTACCTACAGCACTGACAGTCTCAGCTTTAGCAAATTGATGGAGCTGTAGCACGTTGGCCCTGCTGTTCAAGCTGGCGCCTATATTATACCAGGCCTGGCCTGCTGTACCCTCCAGGCCGGGAATTATGATATTGGGTGGGATACTTTGCTTTGAAGGCGGAGCATGGGTTTTCAGAGCATACATTACTTGGTCACAGTGGGACTCATCGCCCAGGTTGCGCAGCATCAAGTCCATGCCTATGACTTGGCCTTCGGAAGCAAAAATCATTTTGACGGCATCCGTATTATCCTTCTCCCTGGCTTCCATGAACTCCTGCAGCTTTTGGAAGGTGAGTGAACGGAGATCCTGTGGCGTTAATACGAGCTCAAAGTCACGCTCGAGTGTTTGCTTAATTTCAACAGCCATCAGCGAGTCCATGCCCATCTCGGAAAGGGTTGTGCCCAGGGAGACGGACTTCAGGTCACGTATGCCCATGATGTTCATTACCGTATCGATAATACTTTCATTTCCGGAACGTCCCGAACGTTTCTCGGCCACCACCATGCTGGCAACAATGGGTGACTTTGCATTGAACAATGTATCCAACTCCTGTAGGCACGACGAGATTCTTTGCTGCAGCGTTCCACCAATTTCCATATCAATTTTATCCTCAGCCATGTCAGCGACAAGGCCCACCTCGCCCACAGCACCCCATTGAATGGCCTTTGCAGGAAGTCCATCCCTGTGACGGATTTCGATGATGCGTTCCATGATTGAATTGGCCATACCATAATTGGTTTGTCCGGCATTTCCTCGACCGCACGACACGCTCGAGAATACCACAAAGTGCTCTAGGTCTGGACAGAGAATGCGAGACAGTAGATCCAAATGCTTGGTGGCAATAGCCTTTGGAGAGAAGCTCTGCACGAATTGCTCCATGTTCTGGTTGGCAAAGATGCCGTCCCGCAGTGCCACAGCCAGATTGAAAATGCCTCCAACTGGACCCAGTTTGGCCGCCTCCAGCAGCAGATTGCGGCAGCCCTCAATTGTTGATATGTCGGCAGTGTTAACGAGAGTTTCGCAGCCGTAAGTCTTCCACAGTCTGAATTGGAATACAATTGGATTATTTAGATGTTAAGTGCTCATATCCATTTACATACGCAATGCGATAGGATTGATAGTCTTTGGTGATGCCACGGCTGGAGCTAAGCACCAGCTTGCGGGCGCCACGCAGGGCCATCCAATCGGCTAGTTCCAGCCCAAATCCACCCAAGCCTCCGGGTATGACATAGCTCATATGCGGCTTAAAGTACACTTGGCTAAGGACACGCACCGGCAACGTTTCGGCTGCTTCTGGGCTGTCACGTACTTTAATTATGACTTTGCCAATATGCTTGCCGCCAATCAGATGCCTGAAGGCCTGCTCGAGCTCGTGCGCCGGAAACACTGTCACTGGCAAGGGCTGTACAATGCCGCTGGCAATATCCATATCAATTAGTTTCTTCAAGTGCTGCAGATAACAATTGAATTAGTTGGATTAAATGTGGATGTGTCTGCTGGCAATGATTACCCAAATATCCTCATCCGAAGCCACCAACAGGTTGTCAGCCAACACAGCATGGAATGTGAGTTCTTTTAGGAAACAGCTTAAGCCCAGCTTAGTGTCATTGGCCATATCGAACTTGCCAATCTCCAGGAAGTGTCCCGACATTCCAAGACAGCGCACAGATGCCAGCAGCTTATCCTCCGACAAAGAATTCAAAACAAAGTCAACACCCTTGCCATCAGTTTCACGCTGCACCATTAGCTCGAAGGACGTATCGCGGGAGTTTCCAATTTGAGATTCTAAATAGAAGAAAATTACGTATTAGAAAAATCAAAACATTTAGTGATTCATTTATACCTTTTAGCTGCGGGAATGTCTCCAATAAGAACTTTTTCTTCTGAGGTGTGCTGCACGTGGTGAACACGTTCAAATTATAGGCCAAAGCCACTCGAATGGCCGCCAAGCCAATGCCGCCAGTGCCAGCGTGTATAAGTATGCTCTTGCCCTTGCGGATATCGGTGGCCATGAAGAAGGCATAGTAGACTGTAATATAGACAACTGGTACCGTAGCGGCTTCCTGCAAGCTCCAGTGATCGGGAATGTCCCAGATAAGCTTGGAGGGTTTCTCCACATACGATCCAACACCCCCCTTCACTACCATGCTCATAATCCGACGACCGGTCTTCATATTGATGCCGGAGTACTCAAAGCCCAGGACACAATTTTGATCGATGCGGCTCGAGCCATATAACTCAACAGCTAGGCGACCCGTGGCAAGCATTACGTCTCTGAAGTTCAGCGATGAGTACGTAATTTTGATTGTGCAATCCTCGGGCTCAAGGGGACCTTCAAACCAGCGCAATGATGACAAGTCTCCGCGCTGCATCACGTTTCCATAAATGTGATCCACTCTAGGCTTCGCCTCATCATTCACAGGCAGATGGAGATGTCGCAGACTGCCCCAAGCACCCTACACCATTGAATGCATAAGGATCATGATGATCTATGATCTATATATGGCTGAGATTTAACTTACGTGACGATAGATGTTGAAGGCAAGGCCCTGCGCAAATTGGGTTGCATAGAATGGATTTGCTAGATCGAATTCAGGTGCGTTTGGATCATCAATGAAGAAACAGGTGACTAGATTGCCATCGGGCTCCTTTCTTAAACAATTGACCAAGCCGATCAGACCATTCAGCTCTTCCTTAAAAGCGTACATAACGACAGTACTCTTGATGCTGATTGCGGCCTGCACCTGAGTAATCCAATCAAAGGTCGAGTCGTTCTCCGAGACCTTAACGACAGTCGGTTCCATGTGCAATTTCTTAGAAATCTTTTGCAGTAGTAGGAAAACTTCCTCGCTGTTGTCAATCGGAATAACCGTAATCAAATGGAATTGTTCTGGTAGTTTTAAGCTACTTATGTTCGTTGTGGGTCGCTCTCTGATCAAAAGGTAGCCGTTGTCTACGAGCACCTTCTGCGCATTGGTAATCACGTCTTCGTTGAGTTCTCCGCAAATGCCACCACCCACCACGAAGTGGTAATTGGTTAGAGTAGACAACTTTCCATTTTCTACATGTATGCCAGGTATTTCCTCAATTTTTCTACCCGTCAAGTACATATACTCTCCAGTGACGACGGGCAGATCTTCGATAGCGTCGATGAACTTATCCAAAACAGTTTCTCTACCATCAGTATCGACTTCGACCAGTTTCATCTTTAATGTGGGAACGTTCTCCAGGGCAAGTTGTACGCAAATGCGGACTGCATTCGACAGGCTCACTTCTGGAGCTGGCAAATAGGGCACGAATTCGTATTTCTCTAAAACTGGAATGCCGGGAGGTCTGCGCCTTTGCACTGGACTTGCATGAAGTCCAATCAGCTCAATGCCTCCCGCTACAACGCGGTCAAATTTATGATCCACATAGACATCAAATACGCGATTCTCAGGATCCATTTTCGTCATCAAATCGAAATGATGGACGCCATTGATACGTAGCTTACGGATTTTCGTTGGCAGTAAAAGGGAGCGTGAGTCTGTGCCCAATATATGAATTTGTAGCATTGCATCCATGAATGTCACCCAGTTGTAGTTCCATTCGACTTGACCATATTGTCCATCGGAACGTGCGCTCTTTACCGCTCGGAACGCTCCATTGTAGTGGTATCCACGCAGCTTAAGTTCCTTGTAAAAATCTTTCTTAGACACCATCGGAAATTGGGATTCCTTTTCGAAATGATAGACTTCCGGTATGGTGGGATTTTCAATCTCTCTGATTTTGCCGGTAACCACTAAGGCACCACCTTCAGTTATCTGACAAGAATTGAATATGGAATTAGAAATTTATTTTCTTTTATCAAGGTTTCATTTACCTCAAAGTGACCTGTGCCATAGTGAATCATGACATTTAGCTCGACCTCTCCGTTAAGCGACATATTTGTGGCTCTGAGGAATTGAACTTCTTCGAATTCAACTGGCACGTCCATATAGCTTGGTCCATGATACATAAGTGAGAAGGTCTCCCAAACGTACTGCAAATAGCATGTTGCTGGGACAAGAATTTTACCATCTATGACATGTCCGCTCATGAATTCCTCATTATCGCTGGCCAGGTTGATGGGGAAGACACGTTCCCCACTTGATTTGGTCTTCATATTTTCATATTTGGTGACAAACCAATCTTCACTGTGATCCCAACGGATCAATGAGCTAATGCTCGGCGTGGAGCGAGAGACGGGGAACTCAATTTTGGGATATAGATTGGCAACTGGTACCATAAGTCCGTTTTGATATAGTCTGAAAAGCAAGGAAATATTAGATAAATACGTAAATACGAGCAATAAGTACTCACTTGCCAAGCGCAGTCATGAAGAAGAGCGCATTGTTCTTGTTTCCTCGATTCGTCAGCGGAATATGAATACCATTTGGCATAGATCGCTTAAGAATTGCGCCAAGCAAGCCGTGAGGAGCTATTTCGATAGTCAACGCATTATTTGGCAGCTGCGCGAAAGTCTCCTCGAAGAGTACACTGCTCAATAGGTTGTTTGTGTGGTATTCGGCTGAGCATAGCTGATGTTCAGGCTGCTCCCAGTCGCTCTTCGGCACACTGGTGCTCAGCCACTTTTCTGTTCTAGCCTTCGAGTGTGGTATTGTTTCCTTCATGTAGTTGAGCAATGGGGGACCCATGAGCGTGATATATCTGGAATGGTAGGCTATGTTCGAGCAGGGCACTTCCTTGGCGAAGATGTCTTTCGATTTCAATTCATCCACAAATCGACTAACGTCATCGATTGGCCCAGAGATGGTGCAGGAGTCGGAGCTATTGTGGCAGGCCACTTCAATGGTTTCGGGCAGCATGCTCTTGATCTTCTTGTAGCCAATGCCAACAGCGGCCATAGCACCTCGGATTTTGTCAGTATCCACGCTGACTCGTCCACGATAATAGGCAGCGAGAATCATTTGCTCAGCCGTCAAGCCGCCATCTGCATAGCCACAACCCAGTTCTCCGACGGAGTGACCAATTATGTAATCTGGCTCCAGATTAAGTGAGCGCAAAACATCTGTAAGACCAATTTGCACCGCAGCAATGCCGACGAAGGAATGTAAGATATTCTTATAAACGGCTGGATCATTCGATGTGAGTATATCAATGAGATCAATTCCTTTCGGCACTAAAGTCTTGTGGCAGACCTCAATGGACTGTCGGAAACGGGGAATTATCATTAGCGACGAGCCCATCTCGTTCCATTGCGAGCCCATGCCGCTGAATACCCAGACGATGGGTCGCTTAAGGCCAGTGTAATGTTGCACATCCTTGGCCAAGGCCTTGGTGGGCTCCAAGCCATTATTCGCAAATATGCCGTAACCTCGGAACACCATTCCGGACACATCTTCCTCCTGAATATTTTGCAAAAGACCAATAAATTCGGCATCTAAAGGTTTCTTTTCGATTGCGTTGAAAATCTCATGGACAGCTTCTTCGGTTCGACCGGCCCATGTCAGAACTCGGGGCAGATCATCTTCTGGTATGCCGAAGTTAACCTTTGGCTTTGGATATGCTTTCAAGATGGCATGGGCATTGGCGCCACCAAAGCCAAAGGAGTTAATTCCGATATATGGCTTGGGCAGCGGAGTTGGGTCCTTAACCACAATCAGACGTCCTTCCGCAAGCGCTGTAATTGTAGGCTTCACTTCGGTAAAGTTGATATTGGGTGCAATCAAACCGGTTTCAAAAGCGAAACAGGCCTTAACTAGCGAACAGATGCCAGAGGCAGGCTCTGAGTGCCCAATATTAGACTTTACAGAGCCCACTAGCAGTGGTTCCTTGCGTTGGCTACAGAGCACACTATCGATTGCCTTGCACTCCTCTGGATCGCCCACAACGGTGCCAGTACTATGCGCTTCCAAATAGCCCAAGTCATTGGGCGTCAGATCAATTTCCTTGTAGAACTCTTCCAACAACTTCTGTTGAACCTTGCCCGATGGGTAGGTAATGCCCTCTGGCTTGTATCCATCACAGTTGGTTTTCGAGTAAATGACACTTGCGTAGACGCGCTTCGCATCTCGCTTCCTTTGCAGAAACATGCAGTTAATTGTCTCAGAGCGGGTATAACCACTAGCGTCCTTGTCGAAAGGACGACAGAAACCATCCGGAGACAAAACACCAAGTCTGTGGAAGGGATATAGAAATATGTTTCGACTAAATCTTGGTATAGCAATATATGCTTACCGAGCAAACTGGATTGTTACAAAGGGATGCAGCAACAGATTCGAGCCACCAATAATTGCGGCGTCAATTTCACCATTACGAAGGGCACTGAATGCATTATCCAAAGCATACATTGAACTGGAGCAAGCTGTGTCCAGCAAAAACGATGGACCCTCCAGTCCTAAGCAGTAGGAAATTCGATTCGCCATCATAGCGCGACTGCAGCCGGTGATGCCGAAGCCACCCGATGAGACCTTCTCATAGAACCAGGTTTTCTCCGACTCGGATATACAGGAGCCCACATAGACGCCCGTCTTAGTACCGCGCAGAGTCTTCGGATTGATACCCGCGTCGATGACCGCTTCGTATGCCGTCTCAATCAGGATGCGTGTTTGCGGATCCATGGTATGCGCCTGCTTAAAGTGCACTCCGAAGAACGTCGCATCGAACTTCTCGATTTCGCTAATTTTACCGGAACGCTTCGGAATCTCTGGATTGAAGTGACGCCAACGACGCTCATCGTCATCCACCATATCAACCTAACAACAGCAGAGAATGTTAGTGCATTTAACCAATATTTCAAGACGTGTTCAAATTTTTTTTTGCGAAATCAAGAAGCTCACATATATATATTTTTATATATATATATATATATATATATATATATATATATATATATATATATATATATATATATATATATATATATATATATATATATATATATATATATATATATATATATATATATATATATATATCTTAAGAAGTCGTTTTAAAGTCTTTCTGAGATTACATTTTTTGAAGCTTTTAATTTTAGTGGTCTAAAATAGCCGTGAAAATTGAAAATTGTACTTTTCCCAGAATAATTTTTTTTTAGCCAAACTTAGAAAGAGTAAAAAATTATTTTAATCTTATTAAAATTTTTTATGTATGCTATTCGTTTTAGTTTTTACATCAAAAGTTAAGTGAACAAAAGAAATTGTTTATTCTTAATTTTAAGTAAAATATGAAGGATATTTTTCATAAAGTTATTTTCTTTTCACCAAGGCTCAAAACCTATAAAAATTTTTTTAAGCTTTTCATTTTTAAAGAGAATTTTCATGGTTTCACTTTTTCTAAAAATCAAATTGAGGTGTTTCGCTAGAGTTGTAGAACTTTCTAGAATTCACGTTTATAAATATATTTAGTTAGCGTTTGTTTCAGATACCGCTTTGAGTCGGAAATGAGCAAAGCTCCAGAGTTTTCATTTACAAATTTCCACGATGAATTGATTTATTTATATTGAGCCATTTTCTTTTTATGAACTGCATTTAAAAATGATTTATATATATAGTATAGTCCTCGCACTTATTCTGCTTTGCGTAGTTCGTGATATTTACCAACCTTGTTATAAAGATTGTATTCGTATTCCGATATATTTTTCGAGTTGGGAAATTTGCCGGCCATGCCAGAAATAACAATATCATCCCCATCCGAATCAGGATAAGATCTGGAGAATTTTTTGTTCTTTTTCAACAACATTTCGGACGCCATTGCACTGAGTTTTTAAGCACTTGATATGAGTAAAGGGATAATATATTTAATTGTTCGATTGTCCTTTGGGAATTATTTTCACTTTAACACTATTATAAATCACAATACGTCGAAGGCTTGCGTAATCCAGCGAGAGTGTGTGTCCGAATTGCCAGACAAAAAGCAATTAAACCCACAACTTTCCACTGGCTGCTTATATACTTTTGCTAGGGCATGTTACAAATTCCAAGAAGGAATGGAAAAAAAATGGTGAATACTTTGACCACAAACACTCCCAAGTAATTAAAGTCAACGAATTCCATAAATAAACAATTCATTTAACAGTGCATTGATATTTCAAGAGCTACTAGACTTAAGGTACACGAATTTAGGAACATAAATTATATACCATGTTACTTATACTCAAAACACTTTACCATATTAATTTGTTATATATATTACATTAATCTGGCCTTACAATTTGGATATGTATAATATAGTCAAACAGTTCTTTGATTTCTATTGAATTTGCTAAAAATCCAATTTAGAAAAGATTTGCATAAATTACGCTTTCCCTGGCTCACGCTCTCTCTATTGTTCATTGAATTTTTATTGCCATCAATAGAATTGATGAAACTCTATTACGTAACTCATTTATGGTCCTCATAATATAGACTATGGCATTTCCTTTCAGTTTCTTTATTTAGTGTTGCCTGACTACATTTTTTAGTCACTTTTTTTTTGCAGCTGGAAAACTTTTTTGCCAATGCGAAATATGGTTTGGCTAACCCTTTTAAAATTATTTAAATATATATTTTAAAAGTGTGGAGAATTTTTGGGAAAGACTGTGTAGGAAGAAGTAGCTTATTCTATTTTTTTTTGGTGCTCAAAATAAATCAAAATATATAAGAACTGCAGAACCGCAGAACTGATTTTAGGTTTTCAAAAGTCCATTTATTGGCAATTAAATTAATAATTTGACTTAAATAATAATTGTAATAGATTTCTGAAATAAAGATGAAGGTATAAGGAATATCTATTAATTATATGCTAAGTCAAGATAGAAAATCTTTATGAAAAAGCTTAAATGACGAGAGTTGATTATATTATTTTTAACTACAAATCAAGTATACGTATATATATATCCCACATAAGTTGCTTAATATTTGATTGACTATTCAAGCAGTAAAGCTGATTTGAACTTTTTCAATACACATCAATAAACAAGTATATGTTCACATATCTGTCAGGTGTAGGGTACTTTTGGAGAGCCCCGTATGGTCTGTTTCAATTATTTCATTTTACAGCAAAGCAAAGTATACGTGCAGATATATTGTATATATACATATATATACAACTTTATACCCATATAAATATATATATATATATATATATATATATATATATATATATATATATATATATATATATATATATATATATATATAAATATATATATATATATATATATATATATATATATAAATATATATACATATATATGTGTATATATGTATAAAGTTGGCTAGGCTTAAATTTGTGAAATGCTTTTAAAGTTAATGAACTTGAACAATCCGCTTCCACCGGCAAAATGCAAATCAATGAATCGTTCGTTGAACTTATCTAATTGAATGCGTTTGCATATGTAATTGTTGCTATCTACAACATGCATACAATGTATGTTCACAAGGTAAGTTTTGCAAACACAAGTTGTATATTAAAACTATAAACTTTAAAAATTGTATAACTACTTTAATACATAGATGTAGCTACTAAAAGGCTCACGACTAATTTCATTTTTAATCTTTGAGTTCCTTAATCTAAAATAAAATTAATCAGACATTCAAGCTCATTGTTCCAGATCACCAAAATTGGTGTAACTTTTGTGTGTTGCAAGTGTATCTATCTGGCAGAAGGAGGCGTCTCTGACCACTATTCTCTAATGGGAGTCGAATTCTCCTAGTATGACTTCAGCGGCCTCGAAGGAAAGCTTGACTCAAAGTGTAAAATTTTATTATTGTTCAATCTTAGCATTTCTTCCTTGATCTCTGATCTAATATCCTTCAGCTCTGTGCAGGATTCAGGGTATCTGTCTGTCGGATACTCCCGACTAGATGGTTTTCGCTTGATATATATAGTATATGACATTGGTTTTCGAACGGATTAAGTTAGTTTTAGTTGGCTTTTATGCTTATATCCAAACCTTGAATTGAAATTGCTCAATTATCTATTAATTATTTAGCTGTAATTTTCAGCAAGGAAACATAAAATGAAAAATATTTTTATTTACTTTAATATAAAGATTTATATTGTGTAAACACCCGTTAAGAATATGAAAGCAAGTAACCGGAACTTTTGCAGTAAATCCAGATGACAATCAAAGAGGAGTAGACAATATTTTATTCAGAGCTTATTAAACCACCGATTTCTGCTTCAAACTTTTCGCTGCGCGTAATTGCGAAACTTTGTTTCCTTTATCCTTGTTGTTTCTTCGAGACCTTGAATACAATTTACACAGGCGTCTTTTAATTATTATTCAGACGTATTTCACGATGCAGCAAATGTGCTCAAAGTTTGCGCTATTTGCATATGCTCATCCTCGCTCAATTATGGTTATAATGTATGCACATGCATGCCCGCAATTATACTTAACTTAAGAACAAAGAAATGTATATATATTTATGTACATTTTTATTTTTTTTTGCAACACAGAAAAGACTTTCGCAATGATTGTTGCTAATAATTTGCCGAAGTGGCTTGATTGCGGCCAGGAAATGCCCCAAGGGTTTCCCACAATCAATGCCAATCAAACGCTTTAGATTTTGCATACCTTTTCTGCACATGCATTGGGCCATGTGTACACAGTCGAGTATTTGCCCACAGGCAACACATTCTGGCCGACGGTGTCAATTCAAATATTTTGCAAAAGACCATTGTTAGGTATGCAAATAGCAAGGTTCAGCTTAAGCATAGTTAGCTTTCGCTATAGTGAACCCTACAAACAGAGATCAATTTTTTTGGTTTATTTTCTCAGAAATTTATTGTAAAATATGACTAATATTGACAAACATTATATATCATTATTATAAGTATGGGATATAGTTACAAGCTATCTACTATCAGATCAACAGTCGTCGCTTGAGCTTTGTGTATTTGTTTGTTATAAAGTTAACTAACAATTTCATTGAATTATTTAATGTAATATATGAATTTTATTATATTATTTATTATTGTAATTGCTGTATGCCGAAAAGCTGAAGTAATTAACTTAAACAAATTAATTTATTATCAAATTATTTGCAATCATTAAGAAGTCTTTTTATAGTCTTCTGAATCGAACTGAACAGTTGTTTTACACGCCGTCTAAACCTTCTTCCCCTCGCATGGCGTTTGTCAAGTTTTTTCAAAAAGTCCAGTCTAAGCTTTATTATATATTTTTTTTGGTATGTGCATTATGCACTTAATAATTTAATTTTATAATTTTTTTGTATGGAAGTTTGTTTGCTTTCTTATAATTAAATTATCAACTCGATTGTATTCAATCAACTGTTTTAGCAACAATAAATATTAAGTGCATTGATATATTGGCCGACATATGCACAATTGAAGGTTCGACTAGTGAAGACGTGCGTGTGTGTGCGTGCCTGTGCCATACAAACCCCCTAAACCGGTTTCTTTTAATGGGTCGATCACAAGCTGGACTGTGCTCATGATGTGTGCGTGTGAGTGAGCGCAGCGAAGAGAGCTCGACGCTTGCTTATTGTAAGTTCCAGATTATCTCTCTGTCTTATCAGACTCAAGCGTCGAGAGACAGTGAGCGAGTGAGAGAGAGAGAGAGTGCTAAGGCGCTTAAAAGCTTTTACCTTAAAGCTCATCACTGTGCATTTCTACGAGTGCGTCGCATGTATCTTGCTGGCTCAAAGCTTTTGGCTGTAGTCTTTAATGAAATTCGTTCGCGGTCACAGCTCTTGAAACTGGTTGGAATACGGGCTTAAAAGTTTGTCTGGCTTCCCATAGAGAGATTAAAAAGAAAAAAAGAAATAAAGTATTAATCAACCGTTGTGGTTTGGCTTGTCGACCAATAGTCAAGGTTACTGAAACTGCATAATTGAAGGTTAGTAAGAATAGCTAGAGTTTCAATTTAATTTGGTTTTTTTTGGCAAAAGTTTCCGTTATTGGGAAATGCCCTTAAGTTACTGTGATTTAACTTGACGTCATTACTTAGTTGGAATTCCCCATTTAGATTTAGTCGTAAGAGTTAATAATGTTTTTCGGTTTCAATTTTGCATGTTTATATATAATTTAATGTGATAAAAATGTTTTGTTTTCTATTTGAAATGCGATTAGAAACGAGTCAAACATGCTCCACAGGTTTTCATTACAAAAATATAACATCTAATCAGTGTGTAAATATGTATTTTTGAGATCTATTTACTTTAACTGATGCTTTGTCGTATTGTCGTATTGAAATTTGATAAGAATTCGTTTCTTATGAAATATTTATTTGGACCTTATCAGGTCTTCGTTTAAAGTATATTTTGAAATGATGACCTTCTCAAGTCAAACCCGATTAACAAGTTCTTCCAATTCGAAACAGGATGGGTCTACATCAGAATCTCGCATGGGCTACCATTGCCTTCATAGGCGTCTCGTGTGTGTTCGCCGCTCCACAGCAATCATCAAATGTGGAGAAAAACATTCAGGATATATTCAATACGAATCCAAGCGTGCCAAACTCGCCGTCTCGCGGTGGGATTGCTGAGGTGGTTACACCGGTTCCCATCGATCCCTCAAATCCGCTGATTGACTTCACATCGATCAGCGGCAAGACGGCCAATTGCAATTGCGTGCCCTACTATATGTGCGATCCATCGACGAACAGCATCACTGAGGATGGTGCATTCGATGGCTTTGGCGTCATCGACATTCGTTTTGGCGAGGACGATCCCGTCTGTCCCTCGTCCGTGGACGTTTGCTGTGCCGGCAATCGCACACGCCAAGAGGTACTAAACCCAACGCCTTTGGAAAAGAGGCCAAACCAGCCGCGCGGCTGTGGCATTCGCAATGTCGGCGGATTGGACTTCACTCTAACTGGCGCGACGCAGAACGAAGCCGGTTTCGGCGAGTTCCCCTGGACTGTTGCCCTTCTGCATGCCAACAACTTCAGCTACTTCTGTGGCGGCTCACTCATCCATCCGCAAGTGGTGCTCACTGCAGTGCACTGCTTACTGTCGCATGCTCCGGGCTCGTTCCTAGTTCGCGCAGGTGAATGGGATGCACAAACCACTAGAGAGCGTCTGCCGTATCAGGAGCAGACGGCCAGGCAACTCATTTTGCATCCACAGTTCAAGATCAGGAATGTTGCAAATGACTTTGCATTGGTTATACTCTCACAGCCGTTCACAATGGGGGATCACATCAATGTGGTTTGCCTGCCTGCCCAGGGCGCTAGCAGCACGGCTGGCACCACCTGCTTCTCCACCGGCTGGGGCAAGGATGTCTTCGGTGCCGCTGGAAAGTACAGCGTTATAATGAAACGTGTGCCCCTGCCCGTTGTCGACTTCAACAGCTGTCAATCACGGCTGCGTAACACGCGACTCGGTCCCAAGTTTGCCTTGGATCGCTCGTTCATGTGCGCTGGCGGCCAGCGGGGCGTCGACACCTGTCAAGGCGATGGCGGTGCTCCGCTCGCATGTCCAATTGGATTACCATCGGAGAATCGTTACCAACAAAGTGGCATTGTCGCCTGGGGCATTGGATGCAATGACGAGGTACCCGCTGCCTACGCCAATGTCGCCTTAGCTCGTGACTGGATTGATCAGCAAATGCTGAGCAACGGCTTTGGCACAACTACATACTCAGCCTAAGTGGCTGAAGCTCAGATATCTCTTTGTCGCAAATAAGAAAAGAAATTAAAGAAACAAAAAACTTATATATGAAACAAAAGGAAGTTTAGCAGTGGAAGGAACTATTTCAGTGAATTTCCCCTTTGAACTGAATAGATTCTAAGTTGGTGTCAACGAAAAACATTAACCACAAATGAAAGCAAAGAAGCTCGAAACGAATTCTAGTTGCAAAAGCTGAACCTCAATGAAGGCAAGGCTCTTGGCTTGAGACGTAAACTGAGGCAAACGTCTACGTTCTTGGGTCCTTTGTTTAATGTTACCACAAACTTTGACTGACAAAGCATTTGGCTTTAATTAAAAACTCCGACGGCAGCAAATTAAGTTAAAGATGCAAAGAAATGCGTCCTTAGAGCGAAATGGTGTCAAAATTCTTCTCACTTCAAACAAGTCCACAAAGTGTTGCAATTATATTTGTCATGCATGCATAGCATCTGCGGGTAGCCAGCAAAGCACGCACAGGCACACACACACACACACACACATACATTCGTATCTAAAGCAAAAAGCAGCAAAGAGCCGGAGATGGTTGAAATGGTGACACTGGCAACGCCTGCACCTGCGTTTGAATTGCTGCATCCATCCAGATGCCGGGTGCAGTTGGCGCTGCCGATGCTGCAGCTGGTGGCACGAAGCCAACGCCATGCCAAGCCAAAGCCAAGCCAGGCCACGACGAGTCTCATTTCAGTTGTGACCGCCACCCGCCACCCGCTACCCGCCATCCGCCAGCCGCCACTCGCCACCCGCTCCCCGCGCTGCTCGTTAAGCGTGCACTGTGCGAAGTATAAGGTGACTGAGTCACTGTAACTGTAACATAACATGTGCTTAACCCAAAAGCAGACGCACCCTATCACCCTAAACATGCCAACCGCCAGCCAGCAGCCCGACCAGCACCACCCCAAAATTCCCTCCGACCCCACCAACGACATGTTACAGCCTAATTGCAGTTTTTCAAATGTTGCAGTTGCTTCCGAAAAAATTAGGGTCATGGAATTTTAAAGGCGCCTTTGCCAATGGAGTAGTAAGGGCTTAAAGGGGCATAACGCGCATTGGCCGTGGTTAGCTTGGTAGCGGATGCGCAGCATATTTTATGCTATGGGAATGTCCGCTCCAGGGAAGTGCTTGAGCGTTAGTTTAAATGAAATACCCATTATCACAGTTGAGCGTGCAGCATGCAACGTGCAGCGTGCAGCGAGCTGCATTAAAATGCAAACGCTTATTCACATCTTAAGAAAATTAAATCTGCTGCAAGCTTAACCGCTTCCAATTCGAAATGTATCTATCGTATCTTTTAATATTGGCGCCTGACTCAATTGGCGTTTGCAGACAAGTGTCAGATGGCATTGGCTTTAAGGCGTTACGCCTTTTGATGGTTTGCGGGCTTAAGCAGTAAACTGTTTAGCTTTGATGGCTGCGAACGCACTCGAATCCGGAATAGAAATGATTGGCATAACGAAGCTCAAGCAGCTGCGTCTGTAATAAGTTAAAGAGCATTTACCAACAGACACGCCAGGCTTGGCCCATCTGTGGCTCACACACACACACACACCCACATTCATACAGATAACAGCATTACCTCGCCAATTCTCAGGCGAGGCTGCTGCGCGGGGCATGACTCAGGCAATGGCGAAAGTTTCAGCATAAGGCCATCACGGGCTGCATAAATTCCATAAGGACACCGTCAAGCGTTTCACGCGTCCACCCCGTCCGGCACGTCCTCACGGCCTATTCGCCGATGCCGGTGCTTAGGCGTCGTAAAATAGTTGAAATATTTGAGAAACTTTTTCTGACTTAATGAGGGCTTAAATAGCTTGCATATATGCAATTGTTGGCGCTCAGTTTTTGAAAGCCGCCGCTAATGCCTATTAATATAAATTGCTCTCAATGCAAAAGAGTTAAAGGATGAAATCAAAATCGTGTGGTTTCCTTACCAAGTTAAGGAACGCTTAAAGCCAGCACATTCTGCTAAACCTTCAACTTTTTTTTAACCACTTTATCGTGCATAGGAATAATACATTTTTTTTGCTATAGCATTTAACGGGTTGATGTTCCTGTTTGCGCTTAGAGCTCAGACTTACAAATGAAATAAATGAAACTTTTCAGGCGAACTAACACAAATTGGTAGCAAAAAGTGATTGGCGAACAGGAGCTGTACAGAAAATGCGGACAAGCTGCCGTGTACAAATACGTGAAAAGGAAAGATGAAATTCTCGTTGCTGGAAAATGTTCCATTAATTTTTACATACAATGACCTGAATCAGCGTTTTTGGTGGCTCGTCTCCTGCTCATGGTCCTGGCTCTGGCGCTGGCAACGTCGTGGGCGTGAACAGGGATAGCAGCGGTAGTGACTTCGCCAATTACTGTGGGCTGAGCGGGCTGCAGACGTGAGTGCGGGCAGCGCTTGGCTCCCAATGAATTGGGACTCAGGTGGGAGTTTGCGCATTCGGATTCGCTATTGCAGCACAGCATGCAATGTGCTGGTGCTGAAGCTGAAAAGCGTCGTTGGGAACGTGCAGAGAATCTAAAACAATTTGTAAAAAAAACGTATATATAAGGGAACTGTGGGCAGCAACAGGAACGTGCAGGATGCTTCAAATTAAATAAATTATAACGCACCGATGATGATATACCCTTGGCGGCGCTTAACACATACAACAGTTCATATCGAATGCGTTTTGATTGACCTACCAAATGAATTATTCATGTGCATCAATGTTAAACTTTTCGTTTTGCCACCTCATTCTGAAATTAGTCAAGTCTGGCCATGTTCAACTCCTTTTACAACAAACATAATGGCATAGCTGAGGTGCATTATGCTGCCCTATAGATGAATAAGCCGACCTGTCAGTCGCTTACAATTTCGCTAGCCTTTCATTTGCAGCAGCAGCAGACCAAAACAAGGCAAAACCAACTAAATTACGTATATACTGTATATATATGTATTATGTTGGTATATCTGGTGTTGTTTGACCAAGCAGCATAGGTCAAGGGTCGGACTACATGATGAAGCCTTCATTTCCACACATTACGGTATTTAAACTAATTTAATTATATAACTCTTTGTGCATAAATTAAAAAACTGTCTGTATCTTGCGCTCTAAGCTGTTTTGGCCATCTGAAAATCAATAACGAAACAGTTAATTATGTAACAAAATTATTTTGAAACTGTATATGCTGTTAGCATGCCATGAAATGAGTTTCACGCGTTTTATTTGTAGTTTAATATTATTTTACGTAATTTCGAAATATGAGCAGTAATTCAATATTCACTAAATATGTTATCGTCATTAATGAAATGTTCTACAATTTCATTGAGTAGTTATAAATTCTCTGCATCGCATTTGTGATGAAAGTGCTCGCCTTGTGCTGTTTGCTTTACATGTGCTGCCACATTCATTGACTCGCTTTCCTATAATTAGTGAAGCCTGCAAGAACTTTCATATTTTGAACGTTTACAGAACCAATTTGAACAGCAAACATTGCTATGAGTACACATATGTGTTGGCTCCATTGAGAGAGCAAGTTGGAAACCAAATGCTTTAACGCATTTTTGGTTTTTCATTTACGGATTTAACAGGACGCGAAATATTTTGGCAAATCATTGTATATGACCAATGGGTGGTCCACACCCACTGAGCCGCGTGGTTATTTCGCAAATATACTTACTTGCATACATGTTTGCAGGAGCGTAGCTATGCGATTTACCGTTTCAAATATTGATCAAAAAATGTTTTCATATCCGTCCACAGCACACAGAGAAAAACTATATATTTTAAGCTATCTTTCATTAGCCAGATATAAGGCAGAGTAGCACTTTTTTACGGACTTATCTATTTGTTTAAAAAGAAATATATGTAAAGCACCATAAAGTCGACTTTTATTTGGCATTTAATATTTGCCGAACAAAGGCATATCCGCATGAAATCAATACGCTTTGAAAGCAATAATAAATTCAATTTTTTTTTTTCATTTACCCCTATAACATGTCCTTGCTACGCCTCTGAATGTGTCTGTATCTGTGTACATGTGTATAAAAATATGTATAGATATATCAGTTGTTGTTGATGTTGTTGCTGTTGTGGGCGCTGTTATTGCTGGCCATTCAAATCTTGTTTTATGGTTTTGTCAGCATTTAAACAGCGAATTCATTAAATTGTTGCATAAAACCAGCATACGCCCCGTTGTTCGTTAAATAAAACCCCGAACATCTACAAAATAGACAAAACATAACATATATTTACGCCAGGCTCCAATTTCGAAGAGAAAGAGAAAGAGAGAGAGGGAGTGAGAGAAAAAATAACAAGCTCGAGCTACAAACATAGATTGCATGTAATTTAAGAGACTTGATTATAAGGACTTCTATGTTTTTCAATTCTAGCTTATAATTATTGTTGTTTTTAGGCAATGGCGTTTCATTAGGTGTTTTATTGTTCCCTTCGCTCCAGTCGCAGCAGGAATTTATTGCTAAGTGCTTGTGGCTATTTAACGTTTTTAATTGAAAAACTTTTGTTTTTGTTGTTGGCGACTGGTGCCAGCCTCCAAGGGAATCTCCTTCTAGCTTCTGTTCGTGATTCACAGTTCGCGGAAAGATAGCTTGGTCACTGCTGGTTACGGTAGTCCAAATTGCTGCGGCTGTCAGCGACAACTATTTGCAGCCACTTATCATAATTAGCCCTGTGCTAGCGCTGCAAATGGTGAAGTTTTCCCTCAACATACTTACAAGCATCGTCCACTTGCGCCACAGAGCCATTAACAACTTATTGCCAATAGGTGGTTGGGCGGCTGGGCGGTCGAATGGGTGGGTCGGCGTCATTACCCTTAGCTTTGGCTCGGCCGCTGCCAACAAAGAAAATGCTCGTGAATACATTTTCATAACGAGAGCAGTCAGTCACTCAGCATACTTATTGTTTGGTCGAGCTGCTTCATCATTATGGACAGACATAATCAATTGCAGTCCATTAGACTTCAGACGAGCCAGACACGAAAGGAACTCTTATTTCGTATTATTATTCGTCATGAAGTATATCTGAGTCCACATTTTGTTGTCCCACTCAGAGTGTATAAAAGCCAATTGCTGCCTCAGATAAAATTATGTATGGGCCCAGCACGAGCCAGGGCGAACGTCCCCAAACGGTTGCACTAATTAAAAATCAAGATATATTTTGTTGTAGTTCAACAATGGGACTTTACATATATGTACATATGTATAAGACAGCAACAGCTCAGTGCTCTCCGACAGTTCTTAGGGCATCATAATTTGTTTTCTTTTTTCGATTTGCTACGCCCTCTAGCTAGTAGTTCAGCAGTAACTTCTTTACCACATTTTGAGGTTCAAGCTGTGTTTCATTAAATTTTTTATTCTGTAAAGAGTCAAAGTATTTTCAGATTGGCCACGCCCCGAGTAGGTGTAACCAAAACAACACTTTATCTATTGAGAGCAACAATATGCTTTACAAACAGCACGGAAATACTCACATTTGCCAATCACATTTCAAGGATTCTATTTTCGCATTGAGTTCGAGTGTTTCCGTTTCCTGCAGCGCATACTCACCATATCGAGAACACAGTTAATTTATTTAATAATAATACGTATATTCGTTTATTACCCTGTTTCATATCTTAACCCCAAAAATTATAAACGATCGATAACAAAATTGTTCACAATTGCTTTCAATTTGTTTTCTTTAAGAACTGAATAATCCCATTTGGTTTATTAAACAATATTTGTTCTGGTCTTATGCTGAGCATATCTAAGATAGTGTTTAGCTCTTGCTTTATTTGTATATAAACAATAAATTAAATTGGCTTTGGACTGAATGGGAAACATTTTCATCTCCAATGCAAAGAGACGCAGATATTTGCGTCTTTTTGGCGCTCTGGTTGCTCTGCTTGCTTGTGTGGGTTTAACAATCTCTAAAGTTTTCTCAACTATTTATTTTTGTATGTGTTACGATTCACTATGAACGATTATATTTAACATTGATAGCACATTCAATATGTGAACGGATATTTTTAGTAATTGATGTATTTATTGTGCACTTGTATTTAAGCACATAATTATCTAGAAAATCAGCTTTGGTCTTTGAAACCTGACGCTCGATTCAATTTGCCAAATACACGTGTAGCGGCTCTCACGGATCTCAAAGATGCTTCGTAGCCTTGTATTGTTATATGGATAAAAAGTAACAGAATTAGGTAACCTCTTCAGCGGATCAATGAATCAAATCAATTTGGTTAGCATTTCTTAGTTACAAGTGTTTCCTCCTCATCATCTTACTGCTCTTGTACTCTTGTCATTCTATTGCACTGACTTATTAGAGCTTAACTATTCAGATTGTAGAATTCGTATATTGAATTACTGTTGTAATGTTTCCTAATTCGGAACTTTGAATACATTAGATATACAAATTTTTAGTATTTTTTTCTTTCTTTATAATTTACCATTTTTGGTTTTAAGGCAAATAAAATTAATCTCATGCTTGATGTAAACCTCATGCTCTTAAGACTAGAAATTCATGAAAGATGAGTATCATATATATATATATTTATATTTATAAACTGTATTATTCTAAGTATACCAATGTATTTGAGAGACTTCAATATACGTTTTGTTCAATGGCATTAAAATTTATACTAAATATGTTGAATTTTCTAGATGCATTAAAACAATTGGAAATTCTCGATTGCAGTACGTGACGAGTACGTATCGAGTATCCATGCCTATCCTAGTCCATTGAAGGTAATTTGATTTGGTTATGATTACAGGATAGCCTCTGAACTTCTTCCTTTATGATTAATCGCAGAAATATGCTTAAATTGTAAGTCAAATGTTACTAACTTGAATTGGAAAACAGAGCGACAATTGAGTCTTTATGCTATTTACAAGTAGAAAAGATCATCGTCCGCTGGTCCTTGGCTCCGTTCAGTTTCAGAGGGACAATTGAAAACGATTGCTGAACTGTGAAACTGATCCTAGAAACATTGACTGCGACCAGACGAAGACATTGGCATGCCGCTGTTACCGGTGGGCGTGGTCGCACGTGTGTCAGTGCCAGAATTCGGCGGTTTCATATTGGCCAATAGAATGGAGGCCGGTCCCGGCGAGGCAGTCACTGTGATTGCTGGTATATCCGTTTTGTTACCATTAGTAGGCGTGCCCGCACGGCTGCCACTGGACTCGGTCACCAAGGGCGAGCCCAAGCCCATAGTCGCAGACATTGGCAGCATGTTAAAGTTCAAGTGTGGCTGCGGCCGTACCGCAATGGCGATGGGCAGTGAAGCCTTGCGGTTAAGCGAGTGTCATCCCAGGAAATACTGTCCGCCGCTCTCAGTGGACAAGCCGCGTGCCAGACTGCGTGGCACTGTGCTATCGTAGTAGACGCCGCTGCCGCTGGTGGAGGCCATCGAGTGCGGCGGCAGCGCCATTCCGCCACCAGTGCCCAGCATCGCCGGCGGTGGTGAGGGCGCACTCATCAGGCCCATGCTGGTTGGTATTAGAGTGCGACGCAGGGTGCCGCCATGCGTGTGTTGATGCCCGGGGACCATGATGGTGCCACTGAGATAAGCTGGCGTTACGCCACCCAAGCTTGAGGGGCCCAGCATGTGAGGACCTGTGAAGCAACAACGGCGTACATATGGATATTATGTGAACGGCGATTACATATTATCACGATATCGTGACAAATTTATATAAAATAAACGAGCATCATTTTCGGATTAATTGAATATATAATTATATATTATACTGAACGTTTTTCATTTTAATATAAATAAGCTTAACGCACTGAGTTACTCACCTATGGTCATTGCTCCACTCACAGCTGGATGGCCCATGCTGGTGTAAATGTTGGGCTGCGTAGGTGGTGCCATCAGCACACTGGTTGCCGTGGACGATGGATGTGGATGTGGATGTGGATGTGAATGTGGTTGAGCGCCTGTTAAGCCAGCGTAGTTACAGTTGGGCGTCGGTGCGTATGTCATGTAGGAGGTCTTTTGTTTGTTTGGCCCATGCCCGACGGTTGCGAATGCCATTTTATGCCGCATGCAGATGAGTTGCCGAGATGTTGACGGCGACGACAAAGGATATGAAAGGGCAGAGCACAGTAAAGTAAAGTTAAGCTGCTGCTCATTTATTCTTGCAATTGAAAATGACGCAGGCCCAGACATGAGATACCCTGCTCACCTGCCCCCATTTCATGTATGTGCAGGAAACGAGCAAATATGTAACTATAGTGGCGCTCACTGCTCTCTGCTTGCTGCTTGCTGCTTTCAGCATTTTAAATCTTTATATTAAATTAATCAGAGGGCACCGTTCATGCTGAGTAAATGTTCTTCAATAAAAATAATTCCTTCAGCTTTATTTGATATTTAACAACTCTAGCTATATATTTCTCCAAAAACTTGCTCATCTTTCCAGCTTATTGCTGCAAGTTGTTTATTGTCCTTTGATTTAAGTTCTCATACTTATAGTTAAGCTTGTGCAAAGTTCTTTCAATCAAACCGACTTAAAAATAATCTACAGGCAGTACAAGAAATCGACGGGTCGGTTTTGTTGCAAACATCTTTGTATTTGCGTTTGTATTTGGTATTTTCATCTTTTATGTGAAAAGTCCCTTAGGCGGCTGTCCAGGCTGTGCAGGCTGTGCAGGTGCAGTAATTTTCATTTTCAACCCTTCAACACAGTCCAACAAACCGTCAGAATGCTTTCGCATTCATGCATATATAGGTATGTGTATATAGTGTATATATATATAGTACTTATGCTTGTATAAGGCGGCAATGGTATTTGTTGCTGCCCAGATCCCATGAAATAAACAACAAAAAGTACAAAAAGTACAAAAATTGTTGCAACGAGCATTCGGAGCAAGGCTACTAACGTTTCTCCCAGCGGAGGTGCCAGTTGAAAGATGAGGGGCTTGGGTGTTGGGGGCTTGGGGCTTGGCAACAAGGCGATTTAAGGACTCCTTGCTTTGTCTGCCCAAAATGGGTTAAATGGCAAGGGAGCTTCCCTGGCGCCCGTTTCCTCTCATTTCCTTTCAACAGAACCACAACAAGCCCGTTGCTTTTGATGCGCCCTCGTTGTCTATTGTTGGCTTAAGCAAGAACAATGAAATTTCCATATTTAGAGATGTTTATTTACCTAAGGTAATGACTACAGGTAATGACCAGGCCACTAGCTCTGGGCTGGAGCTGAACAGAGTCGACTTGAATAGAGTCTAGTAGCACTCATTGCAGCTATTGGAAGGTGATTTAACTAATTACCGTATGCTAAGCTAACTGTAATTGCACTTAGAAGCAGTAGCCCCCTCGACAAAGCTCAGTCGAAGCTTAAACCCCATTTCCACGAATTTCTGCCCAAATCTACATAAGGATTTTCGAAAATCATGGCCATGGCACGCTTTGTTAAGCAATTCCAATTGAAACTCACCTCGTTCCGTGATGATAGACTAGACAATGGCATCGGAGCTGTTAAGTCCACGTCGACATCGATGTCGGAGATGTCGTCACCGAAAGTATCGCCCAGATGGGTTTCACCTGTTGCCATCTGTTGGAAATTGCTGCCGCCTCCTCCACCAGCACCGCCGCTCCCGCCAGTGCCATCGATTGGAGTTTCTGCAAAGTTTTTCGCCACGCCACTGACACTGGAGCTCCTTTTCAAACGGTTGCCCCGTCGCTGAAGGGTGAGTCGTCCGATGACAAGCGTTAGGCATAGCAGAACGCCCGCTGTCACCGATATGATAAGATAGAGGTAAAACTGTTCCTGATGCTCTGCTTGCCAAAGTGAGTGATAAAGGCAAAGAGAGAAAAAAGAAAACCAAAAGTAATGCAAATAAGTTAAATTGAGGCTCGAGGCTGGTATGGATTCCTAATTTCCGCACAGCAACAACAACAACTGAACGTAGCATGTGCATAGTTAGTGTAAGCCTGGCGGAGCAGCATGATGAGTTTTACACTTGGCTGATCTTCAGTGACTTTGTATGCTCGTCAACGCGTTCTCTGCATTTGCGTGGGCGGAAAGTAGTGAGCTAAAGTTTTAATCGGGCGACTTTGTTTATGACTAAAACGAAATCAAAAACTTTACCATGTGGCAAGCAACGAGCTGGGTGCAACGTGCAGCACATGCAACTTTGTGGTGGCTGCCGCAGCCGCAGTCAGAGCCACAACCACAGCCGTAGCCCAAACGCTTTGCTCTCCCTTTGGCTCTGCTGATGACAGCCGCTGAGCTGACAGCCGAGTCGCTCTTTGAGACAAGGAAATGGTAAAGCGGGAAGATGTGTTCCTTGTTTTTTATTCTTTTTTTTTTCGAACATCGTCTGCAGTGTTTCGAGACGTGACATAGCTGTTGTTGTTCTTATAGTCAGCGAACTTGTGGTGCATGTGTGTGTGTGTGGACGAAAACTTCGATTAGTTACACATGAAAGCCTTAACTGTACGAACGACATGCCAGGGATAGTGTAAGAGAACGGGATCTCGAACTCACTTCGAATGTGCAGATAGGTGTGCAGCCAATTTGCCAAGAAACCAACCACTTCGACACGTTCAGTGACGATGTCCTCTTCGGTGCAGTTCAAACCTATTGTACCCCAATCATCCACCATCTGGCACTTGCGGCGATAGAAGAAGTTTCCCTTCTCAAAGTTCGATTCTGTATTGGCAGTCTCGGCATCGATGTCCGAGCCCTCAGTCGCCCACTCAATGCTGCTATCCTCATTATCTTTAATTGGCGCCCCATCGGTGGTTGTGCTAATGTGCTCACTGGCCAGTGTTGTGGTTGTGGCCGACTCAGTTACCAATTGGTTGCTGAATGACATTTTTATGCGGTTTAAGAGTCGCACAGATGCCTGCAGTCGCTCTGCGAAATATGCCAATGGGCGAGCACATATTTTGTGTAGTTTTTTCGTGAAGGCTCTGACGGTCTGGCGAACTCGCATCCATCAAGGGCGAACGCGCATATCCCAGGCGCAACGTCGTCAGCAAACATGATTTGACGTTACTTAACGTTACTATAGATAATGCACGGCTTGGATGGATGCGAGCCGTGCTAGTATATGGCTCAAACGCCAGCAACTCAGCTGGCTAATGAAGACGGATGGGCATGCTCTTAAAATATGTATGCGCCATGCGCCGGGAGGCACTTTGCAGCAACTGAACGACATGGCGCATACCGATACGACAGACTCCATTAAAAAGTGATACGAGTACGCAAAGTGAAATCAAATTATGGATTTATAGTTCGCCCTAGGTACCAATCCCTGCAATCTTTGCCAGTTTCTATATGACCCAACCACTCCCCAACACTTACCCTCTAACGAGCCATCGTTGCGCGATAGTAATGGGGGCAGAAGTGTGCTCGTTGCTTCTTCTCCAACGCTGTTGGTGTCGAAGTCAAAGGAGCGACCCACATTGGCGCCCTGTAGCTTGGGTGCTGGCGGAATGGCCTCAGACTCCTTGTAGAATTGATCCTCGTCATATAGTTCATCTTGGTCCAGGTCTAGATCAGTTTGCTGCGGCTCGTCCGCTTCCGCACCTGTCTCATAACGGTCTTTGAGCACCTTGCGGGGGACTGGGGGAAAGCCGATGTACTGACAGTTCAATTTAAAATTAAACTTAAAGACTTACTGCACGTGTAAACGACTTTCAGATACATGCGCACATCTCCCTTGCAGGGACGGCCAAAGGTGCCAGCATCTGCGGCCACCGAGCAGCGACGACGTCCATGACAGATTTGCATGACAGTCTCGGTGGCATACGAGACAAGGCAGGCTGATAAATAAATATGTGTGAATCAACGGACACATTTATGACTATTACTGCTGCTGCTTACTGGGTTGGCTGTTCTCCTCCCGATTGATCCGCACGGTGCCGGGCGGAGTACCCGGACCGCCGCACTGTACGTTCTCTCGTTCCGTGTGGCCAAAGGACGCACTGTAGATGGCGATACGTGAGTATGGATTGCACATCAGCGGCATGTTGTCATTCTCGCAGGCCAACTTGCTCCGGAATTCGTCTTTATCGAGGAGTAAAAACGCAAAAATGAACAGCGAAAACCATTAAAAATATTCTGCAGATTTTTCACTTGCACAAAAACACGTTTGTGGCGCGGTCATTGGAATTTGCGAACGCGGAGTTGTGCCGGAGGCAGTGATGCGAAAAACGTTTTTATAAATACAGTATATGAATAATTAATATATATAAATAAGGAATTTATTTGTGCCAAAAAAAAAATTGGTTTCATTTTCAACTCACTTTTTTTTGAGTCGAATGACATGTTAACTGATTTGTTGATGCATATGGGACTAATTGCTTACATTTTTGCGTTGCTCGTTTCTATGTTGTTTAATTAATACCAATTTCGCATAACTTGCAACTTAAATTGTCATTTGTAATTTACAATCACTTTAACAATGAAAATAAACAAGAAAAAACCAAATGTTTGCTTTGCAAACACAAACGTTTGTATTACACTTATATTAATTACGCATACGCCACGTTGCATCGAACTTAAGTTGTCAATTTAAATTCACAACAATTTATATAATGAAATCAGAGATGCAAATGTGGTTATTTGGATAATTTAAGCCTAAAGTATTCATTGGCTTGGAAATGTTGGACAGAAGTGACAGAACTCGCATTCATGAAACATTTGACATTACAAATAATTCGTTTTCATAGAATTAATACGAAAAAAGTTAATTCACTTTTCAAGCAACTTTTTTGTGCTGCATTTTCATTTGAATATGCAACAATAAATACATGAAATATATTCCTCACACTTGAAAAAACACAAAATAAATACATATCTTGAAAAAAAGCAAATAAAATAAATTTTTTTCAAAGTACTTTTGAAGTCGATCGAAATCAGTCAAGGGATTAAATTATTCTTGAACTTCTTCCAATTATATAAACTATGAAAAAGCGTTGTTTCCATTGTAAAGCATTCAATTAGTTAATCAATACTTTCTCTTATATATTTCCAAAATTTACAAGTTGTAAATTGTAGTTTCAGGTCAGTGCAATTATTTTTTTATTTTGTATCAAACTTTTATAAAAGTAATTACTCGTATGACATGACGAAATATATCAAATAAAAGTCTAATATCCAATTACTTTGTTTGACTATGTATCCTCAATATCTAAGGGCATTTTTCGAGCATGGATAGTCGACGCATATGTATGTATATGTGCATGTATGTGCTCTCAATTGCACATATGCTCAGTAATTTACCACTACAGACAGACACATACATATAGAGCAACGTCTCACAAAGCAAACTGTTGGAAGTCAGCCAAGTTGAGATTTGCAATTGTCGAGGTACAGTCGACTAAGATTTCCAAGATATTTGCTTCCTTTTGCTCGTTTTGCCCAGAGCAAGCAGAAAAGGACGAAACTCAAGCAATTATGAATTGGGCTGGCGGCGCTCTTTTTCTTCTGCTGTGCACTTTGACAGCCACCTTAAAATGTTTCGCATAACAAATGTATGAAATGTACATAAATACATACGTATATACGCAGATATGTACTTTTGATGCATACGAAGAGCAATGTCTGCGGTGAAAGCACGGTCCGAGATGAACTTTAATAAATTTGGTAAATATTTGCATAGCCTGTTTACAGGCCTGGGCCTCTGGCATTGACTGCATAGCCCCGGCCTTTCGGATCTGACTCCCACATGATACGTGCACAGCTCTCGCATTGGGTACTGTGATTCCTTGCTCCTCTTAAGAGTGCGAGTGCACGTTTTATTATGGAGAGACGTGAGAAAAGTTGAAAATTGCCATATTTTTATGACCACAATGTGCCGTCTGGCACGCGCCTCTCCCGTTGCCTTCCTGCCCGTTCCATGCGCCAGCTGGGTCCGCTGTGCCGTGCCGTGCATTGCTTGCCTCGAGCTTCGCTTCGGCTTGGGCATGGGCATGGGCATGGGCATGGGCCTGGTCTTCAAGCTTGGGGCTTGCTGTAGCTTTTGCTCCCACTCACATAACCAGGCCGTAATTTTTCAACGTTTTCCACTCGTACTTTGCAGTTTTATTACTTGTCGCTGGTGTCCATAATGAGCAAAAGATAACAGACAATTTAGAAAAAAAACCGGCTCTCCTTAATTATATTACCTCAGCAAAGGCCCCGCTTTAGGCCCCTATGTGCTAGCTAGCCTCAGTGTACTCAGCTATGCGGACCAAGTACAAGTTGCCCTTTTTCAACCCGCTGTGCATTTCCCTTTTCTAATTTGAATGCGGCGCTCCTCTTTTGTCTCTCTCCTGTTTGTTTCACTTCCTTGCTGTGTTTGTGTGCTTTTTAACAAGATAACATCTGCGTCACTTGTCAAAAAAAAAAGTAAAAATAAAGAAGCCAGTATAAAAAAAATGGAAAAGAACAACTCTCTTCTTTAGTCCGAAGCCTAAATACTCTTCGAAACTTGAGATTTAAAATGGCTGATAAACCCAAGTATGAATAGAGCTAGAAGTATGCCCTCTTTGAATATGAATAGAGCTAGAATTATTCCCTCTTTGGATATGAAAATATATGTCTCCTATTTTTAGTTCAATCTAAACTTAAATTGTAAATATATAGTTCATATTCCAGGAAGTTAGGAAACAGCTGACGGCGTCTCTACCAACTTCAATCTGTTCAAGAGTAAAAGCACTTATTAAGATTCCTTTTTATAACTCTTTTGCAATGTAACTCAATGCGTGGCAAAGGCATAATACCTTCCTCAAGTGGAGCAGAAAGTATTCTAGCAAAGCTGCAAAAATGCTGGAAATGGATAAAAGGCTAACGCAAATTACCAAAGAATTACATGGAATGCATAGGGCTGCCTGTGCACTGGCAGCTTGAATCTGAATACAGTCGAATTGAACTGTCGACTCGGGGCATTAAGAACTCGTTTAACGACTTTCATCCCAACGGCTGCAACCATTGGCAACAACGCCATTTCGACGCCGCTTTGTTCCAGGTGAATCTGATTCGGATTCTGAAAGTCAAGTGAATGGAGTGGATGGAGAAGCAGCACTTAGATGGTTCATCTGCTCGCTTATCGGCTTATGTTTGCCGAGTGATTACGATTAAACATGAATTGCTTAGTGGATCGTAAATAATCGAGTGTCATTAGCCCAATCGCCAGTGGCGCTCGCCCATCTCGATGCCACTGCTAAAAAATGCACAGTGCAAAACTATGCAAATAACTCAGCAAAAAGTTTATTCAACTATTTTTAATGTTCGCTAAAGCAAAAGCAAAAGCAAAAGCAAAAGCAACGCAAAAGCGCAGCTGCATTTTTCATTATGCTTCTAGCTGAGTTCGCAGCCAGCCCAGAGCTCCCAGCTCCCAGCTCCCAGCTCCCAGTTCCCAACTCGCAGATCCCAGTTCTCATTGCCGCCCACTCTTATCGCCTCGAACTTCTATTTAACTTGAAGTGCTCATTAATTTTGTTGTTCTTTTTTTATTTCGCCACCATTGCGAAAGTGTGAGATGAGAGATTTTAGTACATTATGATTGCGCCTTCTGTTGTGAAGTCCGTTCAACTTGGATCATTATTAATATAAATGCAGGTGCTTTTATGTGTGACCTGTGCTTTCCCTTCTGACCCTGCTGCATATGCTTTTACAGTTAAAAGAGTCGAATACATGTTTAAATATCTTTTTAGTATGAAATTCTCATCAAATGGCCATGCAGCCCATTAGCTTTGGCTTCTAGCCATCACTCTTCTAAGAAAAATTTGGCAGCATTGAGTCTGCAGAGTGCAAGCTCCCATTTTCCTAACTTTTATAGAATTTCAATTGACGTAATAAATATAAATGGAAATAATACCTACTTATGTGCTAAGACCTTATGCAAAGAAATTTACAATATATATATAGTATATCATTTCATAAAAACTTCTTCAGCTTTCGACCAGATTTATAGAATATTTTCGGCTGCGCTCGAAAGTTCTCCGCACATGGCTTCAATAAATGACGGCTTATTTCTTTTGTTAAAAATAAATTTGTTTGTTTGCCTGAGACCTTAAATTGATGTTTGGCACTTTTGCATCTGGCAAATATTTATTTTTGCCGCTGCGCAAATAATATATATCATGGTAGGTTAACGCGGCAAGGACAAAAGCGCAAACCTGGTCGGCTCGACAGCCCATCGATTATACTTTTCTTCGTTTTTTTTTTTTAAATTCCACATAAGTTGGTGGAGAGATACTGAAGGGGTGGCAGAGATGGGGTTGGACTGACCTGCTCTTTTAGCAGGCTGGCATACTTACATGGACGGCATTTGTAGGCAATCTCGACGAATTTTCGAATGCCCGAGCAGGGATCGGCGCTTGTGTGCGTTTTGGAATTCGCAGCGAACTTGCAGTGCCTCTTCTTTTGGCAGGCATCCACCACGGTCTGCAGCAGGGCGTACTGTAAGAAAACAGATACATACAGAAGTAAGATATGGTGTCTGGTGAGTGTGTGTCTGTGTCCTGGTAGTAAATGGGGGCGATGAGGGTGCTATTGATAGATTATTGGGCGCATATGGCAGCTGCAGCCGCATCCTTGGCAAAACGAACAGAACAGCCAAGACAACAACAGTGCACTAGCGTGGCGCCACCTCAGCTGCAGGTCGTAAATCTCTGTCCGCCTACAAGATTAAGCCATGGATGCATTTTGTATAAGCCTTGACAATTCCACAGGCGCATAAAGCCGGCAGCACCATTCAGATGTTGCATATATGTGTATGTATGTATGTAATGCTGCATGCAGCATTCGTGTTGCTGCGCAATTTGCAGGCACTGTTTACATTGAATTAAGCAATTGCTCTGCCACTGAGAATTCTACATAGGTGAATAATTATAATCAGATTAAGGACTTTAAATTGCTTTGAGGTGGATTTAATTCAGCAATTACTTAATGGATGATTCACGCAAATTCAACTATGAAAGTAAGTACTTCCAATGGGCTTACAATTAATTTCCAAGCACAAAAACGAGAAGGAGAGAAAATAAATAAGTCAACAATTGGCGTCATCAAAGTCAGCAAAAAAGTCTGAAGTCAAATGTAAGTTACAGGCAAATGTAAGTACTTGGTCACAAAGCAGCTTTAAATGTCGTTAGGGAGTTGGCATTCGATTCTTAAAGCAGCTTATTTGAAATTTATAACAAAAAAATTGATCAACTTTGCTGGGTGGAAAATGTGTAAGGAATTGTATAGAGGACGATATTGATCAGAAAAAGTTTGACGGACTTAAAGTCAGTCAAGGATCACAAATTGATGCCAACAAACTCATTTAGATGTGACTAAGTTAAGTTGCCTTTCTTTTGAGTACTCTTCAGTTAGACTTCATTATCGAAAGGATGTGAATTGAAGTCAACAATGCAAATCGGATCAAGTTAAACCATATAATAAAGCTGTTGGCTAAGACATTCCTAATCATATTGAGTTCATGTCGTGTTTGGCAGCAAATAACCGCATGTAATGAATGGCCAGTTAAATATGTGTCAGATACTTCAATTTGTGATTAATTAGTTAGATATTCAATAAATCGAGCACCGCAACAGATACGTGCAAGAGCCCTAATTGCGTTTTGAGGTTTCATCTCCTCAGAAATTCATTTGTCCTGTGTCGATGAGGGCAACTTACGCACGAGTGCTGGCTGTGAAGCACTTCTCTTGCTCACACGCAATAATCATTTGTTTATTCTCGTTGCCATTTTAGTTCGAGCGTATACGTAATGCTCATTCAGTGCTCTACGGGTGACCCGCAACCGCACTTGGCAACTGGCGTAAGCTGGCCTAACTGCAATGAGTCAAAGGTCGAGATTGTGGTTGGGGCGCAATTCAGTTCCGTTTAAGAAGCCACCGGAAATGAAGCGTGAGTATCATATCCCGGGCCGTGTGTCCGTTGCGGTTACTCTCGACCGCATGTCACACATCGCACATCAGACATCAGACATAAAGTCATCGTCTTACTTCGAATTGATGTGCGCAATGAAACGCAACGGGCGGCCAGCTGCGCCGTTCACAAGCTATTTTTGAAGGATATGGTTCAATGAAAAATTAACCCCAGCAATGGTTCCACTAAATCTACCAACTTTGCTCGATGCGCAAACCGAACGACCTCATAAATGTGACAAATTGCACTATACAAACTCACGCACACACGCAAACATTGATGTGCCCAGTCACACACAAGTATGTTGTGGCAACTTTTACTGAACTAAATTATGCTGAACAATGTATGGAATTTTGCGGAGTTTTGTGTTTGGTACAGTTTTCCCATGTTGCCCTAGCAAGCCATATGGAGATTCATTTCAAATTTCGAATTTTCACTCAATCGATATATCGTTATTTATGAATTTTTACTCAAGAACTTTTGATTTCCTGATTATATACCAAATACGAGCTGAAATATTTTGGATAATTAATTTTACTGCAAACAATTTCTAAAAAAATCAAATATATCGCTCTAATGATGGCCCAAAAAGATTGGACTAAACGATTTTGTGAGTTCGACCATAGATTTGCAGAAGCATCAATGCATGTATGCATGAGTGTGTGTGTGTGTGTGTGTGTGTTTATAAATACTGTACTGGGTCGGTTTAAGCTTTGAATGGGTAAGTAACTAAAAATTTGATATGATTTATGCCTTCAGCTTGGCCAAAGTGAATCGAATCGATTTTCATTATGAATTATTGCTGTTTTTATGGCATCGTTCTACTTCACTGATTTATTTGAACTGCCTTCTTTCATATGTGCTGTGTAGGTGTGTTTGTGTGTGTTGACCAAAAGGGAGCTATTTTATCGCGCTTGTATATATGGCAATGTCTTTGAATGCACACTGTGGAATCGTGCGGAAAATGGGAAAAATACATTTAGGAGGAAAAAGGTAAGCCGAAGCAGAACCTGAGTCGTTCAAGCAGCCTGATGTCGTTGCAGTATGTAATAGCTTTATACATATATGAATAAGTGTGAGTCTGGAAGTGTGTGTGGGTGTGTGTGTGTGGCTGTGTGTGTCCAGCCGTGCGCTGAACATGGCTGAGCCTTCTTTCGATGATGAGTGCGACGATGATGGAATTGCAATTATACTGATTCAGCTTACCTGTAATCCGCTTACGGTACACGTTTCCGGCGGTTTGACTTCGATTTCTGTGCCGCTGTGGATGACAGCATCGCCGGCACTTCCGGTCGTAGTGAGGTCCTCCTGCGAGACAGGCGGACACAAGCTGTGGTCGGATAAATCTGTTCAAGTGGACGAGAGGGCAATTTGTTGTTGTTGTTGTTGAAAAGGTGAGCGTATCGTTGGTTTTTGTAGTCGTCGTCGATTTTTCGAAGTACGCTGAAGTGGTGTGAAGTGGGTAGCGCCAAAGTGGAGTGTAGTAGGTGAGAGTGATTTTTGGAGGTCGAGTGGCATGTGGCCGGTGCCAAGTAGAAATAGCATTCAATGCAAACGCAACTCAATCTGCGAGCATCTCTAAAAATCGCCACGGACATACATCCGAACGTATACTTGATATGGGCGTATGCGGAGCACGGTTCGCTTCTCATTTGCTTTCATTGTGATTGTCTGCTTGTTTGCTTGCATACTACTACAACTACTGCCAGAACTAGTGCCACTCGTGGGGGCGTCGACAAGTACACAGAGAGCCAAAACATGGCCACGTGCGCACACAAATAAGTAAAATACAATGCGTACAATCGACGCGTGTAACGGACAAACTTTGGGCAACAATCAATCAATTGCGATATTGGCAGTCGCTTTAGGCGAAGGGCCCGACCATTCGTTGTTCTGTTCACTTGACGCTGGACGGGTCCTACCGTCTGCGCCTCCACTTCGGTCGCCACTTACAATCCAACATTCACTTCGCTGATTCGTACGTGACAATCGAACTTACCACCCGCTCGTCCGTACTGGGCCAGCTCTATGGAAATGCTAGTGCCACGTGGACAGCTGAGTGACAGCTGTTCTGAATCGCATCCGGCACGCTGGTACGTCCGCAAGGTGGCCGCCAGCAGAGCTGAAAGCAAACAGTGCCAAAGTGAGGCTGCATTAATACATGAATGAAGCAGAAAGCAAAAGTCAAAAAGAGAAATAATGAAACAAGAAAAATGCTCCACATAACGCATATCAAATACAAACATTGATTCAACTACATGTAGAATTTCGCATCGAAGTTAAATTAAAGATTGCCAGGCACAGATCTCCTCTGCAGTGCAGTTCAAACTGAAATCTCTGCCACGTGCGCCAATATGTTTTTGGCACTCCAATTCACATGAAATACGTACCAAATTTAACAAAAAATAAAATCAGAGTTTCGGCATATTGATATAAATATTGATTCGTTTGCCTGCCTTGAATGAGGCTAGTCTAACTTTGCCATCGAATGTGCAATGTAAAGAGTATATAATTTAAATCCCTCTATATATGGATTTGAACATCTTATTTTATATTTATAGGCATACTTCAGATTGATTCACTATGTCCTATAGCTTCAGCAGTTTTTTAGTCAAACAGCTATGAAAATTTATTTTAAATCGATTTTAAATCAAGACTTTGTTTCGTGTAATAGAACTAAAAAAACATAATATACGAAAGGATATCTACTCTTCGGCTTGTCCTTCTTTTTGCCTGTTCCTAACGCATTCAACTAATTTTGTCGTTTGAAGGCAAGAGAAAAACATTTAATTAAATTTCGCACATATATAGATATTGTGTTATTTATTATTTTTCATGCAATTGGATTTGACATTAATAAACTCTATCAAGTTAAATTGAATTATAATAGCTGTGGCAAGGAAAGCGTTGACATGTCAAAGATGAATTTCCTTTTTCCCAATATGTTTTTATTCCTTGCTTCCTTTGTTGGGCGGACAATGCAAGTCTTACAGAATGGCACTGTATTATTCAATTGAAGTGTCGGTTGGCGCAATGGTTTTGAATTCGATGCTTTGTCAGTGGTTAAGCAACAGAAAAATACAAAAAAATTAATTGTATTTGTTATGAACGTTAAGCGAGATCGAATTGATGCGCACCGAAGTGTGGCAGGTAATGCCGCAGTCTCTAATGGAAAAATAGTCTTGAAGTAAATTGAATTTCCATTATGCAATCGCTCAGTCTTCTAACTTAACTGACACTTGACACCTAAGCAAACTCAGACATTCAATTTCATGTGAAATTATTTTTCAAGTGTTTTTCCTTTTTTTTATTTTTTGTATTTTTGTATTTCGCTTTTCCAGCGGAAAAAATGGTGCGCCATTTGTTTCTGTTTATTGTACATTTCTCTTATCCACTTTAGAGGCGACAACGTTGATGGGGCATCCTCTGAGCCACTGACTTCATTACCCAAATTGTTTGCCCGCGTGCGTGTGTGTGTGCGAATGTGTGCGAAAATGTGTGTATGCATGAGTAAGTGTTTACACTACAAAACAAATGCCTTACAACGGCTGCCAAAAAAGGGGGTAAAACGGGTATTAAGGGGATAGAAGGTGGTTTGACAATGTGTGCTACGAGTGCGACTAGCAGTTCGAGTATAAAATGCCAACAGTACCAATACGTATGCATGTGAATGTGCTACATACACATGAATAAAATACAATATAGATATATACGATACGAACACAGTTGTATACATTTGTACATGTTCGTCTAGTATTTCTATTATTGAAAACCAATTTTCCACACGAAACACGCTCTGACATACAGTTCCAATAGTGAATAGTGGAATAACAAAAGCCATATCATATTCTTATGATAAACTGCAATAACATTCATTGTAAAATGATTTGAATGGAATTCTTTACTATGTTGACTTAAATTTTGGAGGCTTTGCGAAATCTGAACTGAATAATTGTGCCCTTAACAGTAGTTGACTGGCAGGCATTTCATTCCAACGACTTTGAATAACAATCCTCGAGCATCTTAATAATTGCAATTGCGCACTGCTTGCGGCCATTAGAGAGGCAGAGATGCTTCTGCCAAGGAGTAGCAGTTACAGCATCCACGGCAGCACGTTTATAGTCCCCCTAAATCAGCAGCCAGGTGACGGTGGCCCAACAGTTTACGACCGCTAAGGACCGCCACCCCTGGGCCCAGCCCCAGCAGGCACTCCACGTGGACGGCACATGCAAATTTATGCGACATAAAATGATAATAACTCTTTCACTTTTCATAATTTTGGTAAGCATTTACCTGGTTGTTTAGCAAGCCTCAACAGAGACCGCAACCAGCCAAACACAAGTGTTTTAATATTGAGAACAAGAAAAGCAAGACGACTAAAGAATACCCTGCCTTGTAGCTACCCAAGTTATTGTTAAAGTAACAATTCAGACATTTTAAGACCAAATACTTTGCTAGTCTAAATACATTCAGGCATAAAAAATGATTTGAACTATTCTATTTTTGGATTCTTATCTAACATATCCTTGTTTTATTGTTGTTGTTCACAGGGTATGAAGAGGGAAGAAAATAAAAACAAGGGTATTAACGACCCTGCGGCTGCTGCTACGCGTGTGTGAGGCCATAGAGTTGAAGCGGCTGAGAGCTGAAGATGGTGCTGCCTACTCAGCCATTGTTAAGGACTGTCGAGTCACTCGTGTGCGAGTGTTCAGCATTCTGTCGCCCCCAGTTAAATTTTACAGCTCAAGCAAGACACTAAAAGGCATCGCATATGACAAAGGCACAAGGACAACAACATGCCACCGACACCTCCTACTCCACCGCCACCTCCACCTACACCACCGCGTCTACTGTTACCGCCCAGCCACAGATGAAAGATTAAAGCACATCTTAATGCGAACCGACGCTGGGAAATGTGAAACAAGCGCGTAGGCCGTGAAAGTTTCCGTTATCAACGCGACCCAAGGCGCCAGTCGCATTCGCAGAGCGCGAGCCAAGTACGGCTGTTCGTCCTAGGTCGCCTGACTATGATTAGATGGGCGGGTCCTGACATATGTATACCACACCAAAGTGTACGTGTGTTTTATCTATCTAAAAATATTAAAAGAAAATAAAGAGAAACAGAATCAAAATACAGACAGCTACACACACTCGCACTCATTCATCCGCTCAGCAATTGAATATTTATGGCAAGTGCGAGACGCTAAAGTTTGCTATTAACGACGCGCCATTTAATGGCTGCTGTGACAACACATAAATCGGAAGTTTCAACCGAGTTGGTATAGCTGACATGTTTATCTACCTCTCGGCCTTGAAATTAATGATCCAGACCGTTAAGTACTTGAAAAGAAAGTTGGTAAAAATATTTATTAATTACACGCGTAGCCAAGTTCATGGCTCTGCTCATGTGAGCGTGAAATTTGTTGCTGCCTGCGATTTTTCCTTTAAGTGCACTTCACAGTTGTTGCCAGCGCTCTTATACAAACAGTTATACGACTCTTGTAGTATAAGAGAGCTGTTCTATGTCAAGCACTCAGTTTGCAAATATTTGAAAAGTAATAATACTGTGCACGTGTTAAATGTATAAAATAATCAAATAAATGCACCGAATATTTTAATTTCGGCTTCATTTCAGCTTCTAACACCACTGCGAATAATTAATTTTGAGAAACTTTTCTAATCCCCCGCTGGCCTCAATCGATAAATTCAGCGCATATTGAAAGCTGCTGACAGAGAAGCCAAAGATGCTGAAGTGCGTCATCTTTTGCAACGACAGCGAAAAAAAATTAATCTATGAGCAGAGCATATCCTATCTATGAGCTGCCTTATATACTTGGTATGTATATATCGAGAACTATATATAGAAACTAAAACCAATGGAAAATTAAACACGAATTTTATGGCGCTGCCTATTAAAGATTCGGCTTGGGATAAAGCAGAAATTCAGAAATTCAAAGAGTGAAGATTCGATACTCTATGTGCTATAATGTGATTTGAACAGATATATATATATATAATAATTTATAATATAATTAATTAATATATAATAATTATAATAATAGTGTAATAGTACTGATAACATAATAATTTATCGGTCGATATTATATAACTAGATGAATATTAGCCCTAGATTGATATGACTTAATGTTGGAAAGTTTGACTTATACAAAAACTTGTCTATGGTTCCTATAATAGCTCTTTGATATCTTAGATCGATTTAACCTATCCTAAAACTGAGACATTCATGGGCTATCTCTATGCCAATGTTTAAACTAATCTATTGATATTGATAAAAAAGTTAAGTGCTGTTACAGGATTAGTGAGAAAATGATAATGCCCTTAAGACGAGTAGTCAAATTAGTGGATACCCATACATACATATATATATATATTATATATGTGGAGATAAGTAATCGCAAAGTAGTTCATGGTCATGATTCAACATTCATGACAATGGAACGAAGATTGGCAGGCATCTCTATTCAAGTATCTACTCTTGACGGGCAGTTAATTAATGTGGTTTAATTTATGAATGTTTGCTTTGGCTACCCTATTAATCATTAATGACGAACATAAATATTTGGTCGCTCTCGCTTTTCAGATCATTTGTGAAACTTTGTCCGTGGAAAATATTTGGCTTGGCCGCTCTTAACAAAACTGGACAACGGAAAATATACAAAGGCCATAAACAGCCACTCTCAGTGTGTATTTGTGCTTAATTATGATTTATATAAAAATACATAAACATTTATTTATACATATATAGATTTAACTATATATATATATATACTGTATATATTTGGCAGTGGGTAACATGGCGGAAAAAGTGCCAGATGAGTTCATCTGGCACGGGAGCTGGCTGGGGGAAGGGGAAAACTTGGCGCCTGCATTGGCCGGGCATTAGCTAAAAAGCGTCACAGCATCTCTGCTGTGGGGGAGGGGTTAGCGGCGTGACGATAGGGGACGGTTATTGCTGCTGATAAAACGCAAAACCGACGCGAATTTCTACATGTAGATGTGGCTGAAATGTGAACAAAATAAAAAAGGAAACGCAGAAAAAAAGAGAATAAAACAAAACATTTACCCAAAGGATCAACTCGATAAATAACTTCCGGCATGACGGGCCGCGTCAGCAGGCACACAGCAGCCAGCAGCCAGGCGACTCTGCTCCAGCCATGGCCCCAGGAGCACTCGTTGTGCACGTGCCGACATTTGCTAGGTTGCCGTAGCTGTGGTCGATCCAGAGCAGGATGCTGGCAGTGCTGCCATTGCAGATGCTGTGCGGGATTTGGCTCCGACTCGGCCATTGCCACCGGCCAGAGTTGATTTGCTTGTTATTTGTTGTTGTTGTGACTGTTGTTGTTGTTGCTATTGGTTGTTGGTCGTTGGTGTCGACTGTGTGTTATCGTTGTTTAGCGTCCGTTGTTGATTTGATGTTCTTTATGCTCGATTTTATTGTGCACCCTCAGATTTTGACAATTTGCATTTTTTGAATTTTCATATTTTATTGTTATCATCATCCGCGATGGCGATGGCTTCGTATGTGTTACGGCTGGTCAATATATGTCCTCGCATTCATGTTCACTTTCATATTGCCTGAATGGGCCGTCGTATTCATGGCGTTGTCATCGACGGATCGATCAAATACCATCTGCTTTCGGTGGGAAGTTGCAATGAATAACACTTTGTTTTATGTACTTTTCAAATTTGTATTTCAGCCCATTAAATATTTATTTTATGGCGTAATTGTATGATGCCTCATTGTATGATTTCGGCATTATACTTGCTATGCTTTAAATTGTAGCTCGTTTGTTAGCTGCTATTTGCTCTGCAAGCGAAACAATTAATTGCATTTTATCAGCCTTTTGGGCGTTGTTCGTTTTTGTTTTTGTTTTTGTATTTTATTTTTATTTTCATTTATTTGTTTTGAAGTGTATATTTTTATTTTATTTTTTTTTTAATTTATTACTACATTGTGCAATGCACATTGTTGGCACAAATGAACAGAAAAAGTAAACCGAATTTCATTACTCGTTACTGATAACTCGATTATTGCACAGACAAAAAAGGCAGCCGCAGCATTCGCTTTGAACATTTTTTATTTGTTTAACGATGAAATAAATTATTAAATTATTTATTTTTTTCAATTGCGCGCCGCGTCTTAATTGGGTTTGAGGCTATTTATTGAATTCGATATTAATTTGAAATTAAAACAAATTTCGCCACTGAAATCACAATTAATTAGTTCGGTTTCAACTGGTTTTTTTTGTTCGATTTTTTTTTGTTCGTTTTTGTTTTTTCGCGCACACCCAAAAGCGATTCGCCAACAATTATAATAGCAAGCGACTAGAGCAGGATTATGGGTTTGAATCCTCCTGTTTCTGACACTTTCGTTTTAATCCCCTTCGGGTTTATGGCTCGTTTCATCATACCAATTTAAGCGTCAGTTGAAACGGGGTCTAATTAATTTGGCTAATGGCGACAAGACGTTTCTTGGCTAATAAGTTACACTCCTTTGCATATTAAGATAAAAACTCAATTTCGTCTAAAAGTATCTCTTTGTGACAGGCTCGAAGGTTGTCACCTCTCCGAACTCAAAGACTGAACTTTTTAAGCGATTTTTTGGCTTGCGGCATAGCCTTCGTACGCAATTTAAATGAAATAATAAAGGCAGTCTTCTAATTCCAATTCCAAACAAGAATGCAAATATTCTCTTTGTGCTTTCGTGTTTTCCTACGCTCAAGCCTAGCCCAGATTTTCTGTTTTTAGTTTGAGCAGTAAAAAAAATATACATTTTTCTTTTGCATATTGCAATTTTTGTATTTTGTCAGCTGGCAACATTGTTAGAGAGTTTATAAAATTGTTCTTTTTCCTGATTTGCCATTCAGTTGCGTATCCCAAGCGATGGCCATTCAAAGCTCTCGCCCAAATGTGGGCTGTGGCTATACTGGCTAGATTAAAAGTACACAAAAGGTATCAATTGTGTTCATTTATCCATGAAATTCTAACAGTTATGTGCGGCAAGCCAGCAACAGCAACCCTACGAGATGAGTAATGGGCATCTATCTAGCAAGCACACACACGCACAAATTGACAAAAACAACACACGCACCACAAAATGCATGGCTCAGTATTTGTTGTTTGTTATTTTTTTTGGGAAGCTGTGCTCTGCTGTGCTGGTTACATCGAGTTAGGGGTTTTTGTTAAGTCTGTATAAGATGCGAGCTGTTTGACAAAACATTCATTAACTGACACTTTTGGACGTCAGGCCCAAACATGGCCAAGCCGGAAAGCCGATGCCAGGCTTGAAGGAGTGACGCCTAAACACAAACTGATGAAAGCCGAACCCGAGAAAATGGTTTTGCCAGCTTGGGGAACGGGTTGAGTATTAAGCGTGTAGAGACCAAACAAATCCCTTGTTATACTGAGAGCTATGACTGAGTGTGTTGGCTGAAAGCACACACTAGCACACACTTAGACAAGCACTCACACTCACACTCGCACTCACACTAAACACACGCACACACGTGCATATGCTTAGCTTGCCCCGCTTGGCTGGCAAATGCTTCTTTATGTTGGCTTAATGTATTTCTCGACGTTTTCTTATTGTTCGCCAGCAAGAAGCCCAAAAACCGCAAACTTTCGAAAGCAAACTTCATATTTTGCAAACTGAGCGGAAAGTGCTTGTTGCCCTGCCTGCACACGCCGCACACGCCGCACACGCCGCACATGCCGCACTCGCCGCATAGGACCCTCTGCTGCCACTAGTGACACCATTATAGATCCTTCTAGGAGCTGCAGCTGCAAACGGTTCGGCATGGCCAGCGCAGTCGAGGCTTGTCTTTGGCTCGCCTTTGTATCTGTATCTGAATCTGTCGGATTTTGACGTGCCGTCGCAGGCGTTTTTAGTTGATTTTGCTTTTGGCCATTGCTGCTTGTTGAAGGTTTTGTAGTGGTTGTTGCAGCCACCACTCATGATGATGAACTTTCCGCCGAACTTTGGTTTATGGCTTTTCCATGTTTTTCTTTTTCAGCTACAGAAATTAATATATACGAATATTTTAACTTTCATCTTGGTCGGCATCCGCTGCCGCAAGCTGCAGGCAAGTCCACTTGAGGGCGAAGCAAGTCGTTGTTGTTGTTTCTTCTTATTGGTTTGGGTATTGGAGGTTGTGGTTGGGGGCGCTGGGAAGCAACAATGTTAGCGGATGTTAGCTCTTGCCACTAACAAGTCGAGTTGCGTACAGTTTATTTATTTGAATTTATTTAAGCGTAAACTTGCGCTCGTAATTTGCTCATCTTTTGTGCTCAGTTCAATTTAGCGGAAAATTGAATTCATATTGAAATTTGTCGGTCAGCGAACTTAAACGCCGCCACCAAATTGCCATGGAAAACAGTCTGTCGCTTTTTGTTAGTGCGATTTATATACAGAAACGATTGAAATCAATCGCGCTTTCAGCACACACATTCGCACAGCCTGAAATTGTTAGCCACAAAACGCAAAAATGCAGAGGCATGAAACTCATCAACGGCTTTCGGCCGCAACCAGTTGAAAATACATCGAAAAATGTGCAGAATTTGCCAGAGACTCGACGTGATGTGACTGTAAATTTAAATTAGACTCGGCGCACAGTTCGCTGATTCAGTTCATCGTTGCAGGTTGCACGAATGCAACATCAAATTAGGTCTAACGCCTCATAAGACTGCAATACAGCTGGATTTAGTTAAAATATTGCTGGTAGACAAGGTAAATGGGCATATTTGTTTCATCTTCAGTGCGCTCATAAATCTTCAACAACTGGGCAAATTGGTCCAAAATACAAAATTCATATTCACATGCTGTGATTGATGGCCTCGGAAGATAGGATTCTGAATATGGTAATTTTCGTTGTTTCGGATAGATAGATAGAAGAAGAAGAACCCCTTTGGCATGCCGGCTGTCGACAACAGTGTTCGAAAGAGATAAATGCACGCTTAAGGAATCTGAAACGGCTTTCAGAGGTCTAAATCAAAATTATGGCTTAACGTCAGCAGACCCAACGGGGATTGAAAACTTTAGCTAGCTGGTTAAAGAGAAAGTGCGTTTGTGTTTGTGACAGAGAGAGAGAGAGAGAGAGAGAGAGAGAGAGAGAGAGAGAGAGAGAGAGAGACCGAGACAGAGTAGGGAGAGAGGGAGACAGAAGCATAGCTTAACTGAAAGAGAGAGCGAGGTCGCATGGGGATTTGGGGCAGTGAGCAAGGTAAATATTTATTGGCTCAATAATTTGGCAACATTTCGCAGAATTAATGTGCAAATTCCAGCACCATAAATTATTTCCAGGCATATTCCTAAATTTTATTAAATAAATAACCAAAAAAGCCCGTCGCAATCACGAAAAAGACGAATGTGCGTGCGTGAGTTTGTGTGGGTGAATGAGTTGGGGGCGTTGGACTGCGTTTTTTTGTTGGTTCTTTTGGTTCTTTTTTTGCAAGGACACGCAGCCATAATAAAAACTTGTTGAAAAATTTACGAGCCGAGCAGCATCAAAGGACAAATCGGACAAAACCAGCCCAGGCAATTGGCCACGTGAGCAACCGCTGGCCAGCTTCTGGTCACGTTCCGGTCGCTCGACAGATCCCTGTGCCTACACCATTCCCATCATTCCCAGGGCCAGTCCCGAACGCAGGCATGGGGAGCTGTCGTGGGCGTGGGTGGGGGTGTCGGTGTGGGTCTGAGCATGAGGCAACGACAAGGGCGTGTTTATTTATGTCCTGCCCACCGCTGAAAACTTTAGTCGTTGTACGTGTCAAAAACTTTTGACAGTGCAATGCCTTCCCGACTCAAGAAGCCGCCAGCTGCAACTTGGAGCCCAGCTGCGGGCCTATTAAACGGCACAGAGCACAGCGAAAACGCCAAAGTCAACGTGTTGGAGGGCAATGGAGGTGGCCAAAGTACGGACAGTGACTAATTTGGTTAGCGGGTCTCGTACAACCTTCATTGCTAACTAGAATGTGTTATTAAATAGTGTTTGGTACATGCTCAACGTGAACAAAAATCACAAGCCAGCCACGTGACAAGACCAGATAGCAAGGTCCAGAGACATAGACAAGGCTACTCCTGCCCTCACACACTAAATAATTGATCAGGGTTCGTGCGAATCTCGGAGCATCTGCGCTGTGTGGAATATGTCCCATATTAAATGTGGCCTAGCGGCCCGGGCTTAGGCTTGATGAGGGCATAGTTAGTCCAGTCATGCTGACCACAATTGCTTTCGTCCTTTATTACTTTTACAGCGTTTTTTTTTATGCCCGAAGCTCAGGCATTAATCTCTCGCTCCGCCAAATGAAAGTGTGCCAGAGCTTTGCCATGATATTTCAATAAAGGTAGGCGACGAGTCTTACTTAATTTCTGAACAATTGAAATTCATTTTGTTGAAATTCTTTTGGTGTTACTTTTGGGCGCATCTATTGAATTATTCGTTTGGGTTTTCGACTATTTCGCAAAAAAGGAAAACTCATCTTAACAAGTGCACCAAAATGTTATTCATCCCAAGAATGTGGCTACCTTTACCTGTGCCCGTGCCTGTGCCCGAGCACATCTAACACATATTATATGAAAATATACGCGCTCATATAATAAAGTGCGTGAGCCACAAAATAAAATGAAATAAAATAAAATAAAGTAAAAAAGAAAACAAACGAGTGAAACTTAACAAAAAGTGGTTCATGGCATCAAGGGCAAAAACATACATTTTCCGCTTTACGATGGCATTTGGCGAAAGTAAAATGAAAGGGGCCCGGAATGGCCATAAGATGGCGTGAGGCGATGGTCATGCGGATGCTGCGCAG